CCATTTGAGGATCTCTCCCTCATTACAGTCAATCAGGTATATGAAGACGAGCAGCAAAGTCAGTCCTCAGGGAATGTGCAGGCGACCTTGGAACGGACAGCTTGGAACGGACAGCAGAGGCTTGACAACCATATGTCAGGAGTGCTCTGATGGTGTTTCCTGCTTGGCAGGGGGTTGGACTCGATGGCCCTTGTGGTCTCTTCCAACTCTATGATTCTAGCTCACGGAAGATCCCCGACCAAACCTAAGAGGAGGCGTGTAGTGGTGATAGGGGATTCCCTACTGAGGGGAACAGAAGCAGTGATCTGTGGGCCTGACAAGATGTCTCGGGAAGTGTGCTGTCTCCCCGGGGCTAAGATCCAAGATGTAACTGAACGACTGCAAGGAATCATAAAACCCACTGACAAATACTCTTGGTTCATGTGGGAACCAGTGACACTGCAAGCAATAGCCTCCAGAAGATCAAAAGAGACTACGAGGCTCTGGGCAGGAAATTGAAGCAATTAAATGCACAAATTGTCATCTCATCTGTCCTCCCAGTTGAACGACGTGGCCCAGGGAGAGAGGGAAAAATAGTGGAAGTGAACAGCTGGCTTCGCAAATGGTGTAAACAGGAACGGTTTGGATTCTTAGATCACGGACTGCAGTTTCTTGAAGATGGACTTCTGGCAAGCGATGGGCTGCACCTCACAACGGTTGGGAGGAATGTTTTTGCCAAAAATCTCAGAAACCTCATCAGGAGGGCTTTAAACTGACTAATGTGGGGGAGGGAGACAGTGCTCCTGAAGGTAGGAGTCTATCAATTGATGAAGATGATCATCCAAATGTCATAGACCAAATGGAGCAAACAGCACGCAGACCTAGTGGTGGGAGGAAAAAATCCTTAAATAAGAGACACGGGGGAATGATTAATGGACTTCAATGTCTGTACACTAATGCGCAAAGCATGGGAAATAAACAAGATGAGCTTGAGCTCTTGGCACAGCAAACTAAATATGACATAATAGGCATCACTGAAACCTGGTGGGATAAGTCCCACGATTGGAATGTAATAATGGAGGGATACAATCTATTTCAGAGAAACAGACCAGACAAGAAAGGAGGAGGAGTGGCGTTATATGTCAGGGATGTGTATACCTGTGAAGAGATCCAAGATTTAGAACCTCAAAGCCAAAGTGAGAGCATTTGGGTCAAAATTAAGGGAGAGAAGAATAACAGTGACCGCATGGTGGGAGTTTACTATAGATCCCCAAGCCAAACGGAGGACATAGATGATGCCTTCCTGGAACAGATGGCCAAGCATGCAAAAGGAAGGGAGATAGTAGTAATGGGGGACTTCAATTACCCGGATATTTGTTGGATGTCAAACTCAGCCAAGAGCATAAGGTCAAACACATTCCTCACTGGCCTTGCAGACAACTTCATTGTCCAGAAAGTGGGAGAAGCAACAAGAGGAACAGCCATTTTAGATCTGGTCCTAATCAATGTTGATGACCTGGTTAGTGGGGTAGAAGTGGAAGGATCATTAGGCGCGAGTGATCGTGCTCTTCTGAAGTTTACTATATAGCGGAAAGGAGCAGCCAAGCATACTAGGACTCAATTTCTTGACTTTAAGAAAGCCGACTTCATAAAACTTAGGGAAGTGCTGGGTGAGATCCCATGGACAGTAATACTAAAAGGAAAGGGAGTTCACGATGGCTGGGAGTTTGTTAAGAGGGAGATAGTAAAAGCACAACGTCAGGCAATACCAATGAGACAGAAACATGGAAGGTGCCTAAAGAAGCCAGGGTGGCTATCTAAAGAACTTTTAACTGAGTTAAGATTAAAAAGGATGTGTACAAAAATGGAAAAGGGGAAACCACCAAAGAGGAATTCAAACAAATAGCCAGCACGTGTAGACACAAAGTCAGAAAAGCTAAAGCACAGAATGAACTCAGGCTTGCTAGAGAGGTTAAACGCAACAAAAAGGCTTTTATGGGTATGTTCAGTAGCAAAAGGAAGAACAAAGAAACAGTGGGGTCACTCAGAGGAGAAGATGGTGAAATGCAAACAGGGGACACAGAAAGGGCTGAACTCCTCAGTGCCTTCTTTGCCTCAGTCTTCTCCGATAAAGAAAACAATGCCCGACCTGAAGAATTTGGAGCAAATGATTCAGCAGAGGAAACACAGCCCAGAATAACTAAGGAGATAGTACAAGAATACTTGGCTAGTTTAGATGTATTCAAGTCTCCAGGGCCAGATGAACTGCATCCAAGAGTATTAAAAGAACTGGCAGATGTGATCTCAGAACCACTGGCAGTCATCTTTGAGAATTCCTGGAGAACAGGCGAAGTCCCGGCAGACTGGAGGAGGGCAAATGTTGTCCCTATTTTCAAAAAGGGGAAAAGAGAGGACCCAAATAATTACCGCCCAGTCAGTCTGACATCAATACCAGGGAAGATTCTGGAGCAGATCATTAAGCAAACAATCTGTGAGCACCTAGAAAGGAATGCTGTGATCACCAATAGTCAGCATGGATTTCTGAAAAATAAGTCATGTCAGACTAACCTGATCTCGTTTTTTGACAGAATTACCACCCTGGTAGATGAAGGGAACGCAGTGGATGTAGCCTACCTTGATTTCAGCAAGGCATTTGACAAGGTGCCCCATGATATTCTTGTAAAGAAGCTGGTAAAATGCGGTCTTGACTATGCTACCACTCAGTGGATTTGTAACTGGCTGACTGACCGAACAAACCCAAAGGGTGCTCATCAATGGTTCCTCTTCATCCTGGAGAAGAGTGACTAGTGGGGTGCCATAGGGTTCTGTCTTGGGCCCGGTCTTATTCAACATCTTTATCAACGACTTGGATGATGGACTCAAGGGCATCCTGATCAAATTTGCAGATGACACCAAACTGGGAGGGGTGGCTAACACCCCAGAAGACAGGATCACACTTCAAAACGACCTTGACAGATTAGAGAACTGGGCCAAAACAAACAAGATGAATTTTAACAGGGAGAAATGTAAAGTATTGCACTTGGGCAAAAAAAATGAGAGGCACAAATACAAGATGGGTGACACCTGGCTTGAGAGCAGTACATGTGAAAAGGATCTAGGAGTCTTGTTTGACCACAAACTTGACATGAGCCAACAGTGTGATGCGGCAGCTAAAAAAGCCAATGCAATTCTGGGCCTCATCAATAGGAGTATAGCATCTAGATCAAGGGAAGTAATAGTGCCACTGTATTCTGCTCTGGTCAGACCTCACCTGGAGTACTGTGTCCAGTTCTGGGCACCACAGTTCAAGAAGGACACTGACAAACTGGAACGTGTCCAGAGGAGGGCAACCAAAATGGTCAAAGGCCGGGAAACGATGCCTTATGAGGAACGGCTAAGGGAGCTGGGCATGTTTAGCCTGGAGAAGAGGAGGTTAAGGGGTGATATGATAGCCATGTTCAAATATATAAAAGGATGTCACATAGAGGAGGGAGAAAGGTTGTTTTCTGCTGCTCCAGAGAAGCAGACACGGAGCAATCGATCCAAACTACAAGAAAGAAGATTCCACCTAGACATTAGGAAGAACTTCCTGACAGTAAGAGCTGTTCGACAGTGGAATTTGCTGTCAAGGAGTGTGGTGGAGTCTCCTTCTTTGGAGGTCTTTAAGCAGAGGCTTGACAACCATATGTCAGGAGTGCTCTGATGGTGTTTCCTGCTTGGCAGGGGGTTGGACTCGATGGCCCTTGTGGTCTCTTCCAACTCTATGATTCTATGATTCTAAGGGATAGACATGTTTTATTGCAGCTGGGGCAGATGAATGCATCCAGATTTGCTGTTAGAGATGCACCATGGTGTTTCTTCTCTCTGTACTCCTCTCAGTAGTTATTCTGTAGTCACTGGTGTGGATACACAACCTGTAGGGTTAATGTTGCCAACTTTCATGTCACAATTGCAGACATCTTTGTATCACAGAGTTGGTCTGTCAACAGGTTTGGTGTCTGAAGCCAGCTCCCCACAAAGCACATCCCTGGGGATCCTGCCATCTGCCGTTCTATGTACATGACCAAGCCAGCGTAGAGGTCGCTGACACAAAAGTGCAACCATGCTGGGAATGTGAGCTTGGGAGAGCTCATCTAGACTATGTCCTGCCATGTGATGCCCAAAATCTTCCTGACAGCACATATGCAGACCGCACTGAGGCGTCCTTCCTCTGATAATACAGCTGGTTATAAGTTATAAGTAAGGTAGCACGGCATGAATCACTTCTCCACATTTCTTTGAACAGCACAGGCAGAGATTGCTCAGCAGAGAACACACCTTGGGGCATTCCGCTCCCCCCTCCTCTTTTACCTTCCCTGAGCTCCGCCCCACAGCGCAGTCGGCTCTTGCGATTGGTTGGGACGACGCCGAGAGCCTATCCTCAGCTGACTCAATGGGAACCAGCTCTTGGGGTTTTTTTATTTCTTTATTTTTTGCAAAAGTTTCAGTTTAGGCAGAAAAACCTGGAGAAATCAGGGCGCTGGAGCAGGGCTGACAAGAGGAGTAGAGAAGCGGTGGTAAGGTGCAGGAAGAAGAGGCGCAGGAAGAAGCGTGGATTAAAAGAGTTAAAAGAAGACAAGGAGTTAAACGAAGAGGCGAAAAGGAAAAGGAAGAGGAGGGTCTGACGAGCAAGGCTGCAACTGCTGTAGCAGGGACCACGTTTCCTGCGCTTTTGGAGATAAGCGCAAAAAGGCGCAAAAAGAGGGAGCCTTTTGTGGAAAGTGGCAGCCCAGGAGCAACCCCAGGAGTTAAGGGGGCTGCTGGGTCTGGGGTTCCCCCCGCCCCGAGCTGCAACATCTCCTTGGAGGCACGGATCGCCACCAGCTGGCGCTGTTCGTGGCTGGCTGAGTGGGCGAAGAACTCATTTGCAAATTGACCGCCCCGCTGGTTTGCCCGAACCCTTTTTTGCAAGATATTTTTTAAATAAAGGAGTTTTGGTAGGCAAGAAAACGCGTCGAAGAACTCGTCGAAGATGAGACAAGATGTCTGACAAAATGTCTAGCTTTCTGTACATCGGGGATATCGTCTCCCTCTACGCAGAGGGCTCGGTGAACGGCTTCATCAGCACTCTGGGGTAAGGATTGTGTGAACGGGAGGGTCCCGCCGCGGCGGAGGGATGCGCGGGTGCGGGTGCGCGCGCCTTTGGTTACCAGCGCCTTGCTTTTAGAAGACCTTCCCTGTGCGCTTCTTGCAGTCCTTGTTTACTTTCGATTTCCTGGGGAGCTACCGCTGTTCAGCCTTCTTTGACTTTGAGAGAAAAAGGACACCAAAGTTGTAAGGCACAGGAAGCAACAGCTGGAGAGGAATGGGCAGCGGCCGCAACCCTAGCACTGAAGCTTCTGCTATTGCGCGGCGTAAAGAGAGGAAGAGAAAAAAACGTAGGAAATTATTTTAAGAAGCCGGGTCTCTTAAACTTCGGGCAACTTCGCTGCGTGCAGCCGTAACCGCGCGCTGGCCCAGCTGAAAGTGAGAGCGGCGGCGATCTAGCCAAAAGAAACAGCAATTTTAAGACGCATTTGTATCCGTGGGAAAGGGGTTGCAGTGCAGTTTTGTCCACGTCTGCCCTGTTGAGTTCAGTGAGACTTGCCTCTAAGTGAAGTGGGTTACATAGGATTGCAGCCTTAAGCAATGTGCTCAATTTTGCCAGAGATCAGTGAGATTAAAGCGCTTACCCTTGCACACCTGAGCCTATGAACGCTTGCCGGAAGTAAGCTTCGCTGCTTACTTCCCAGTAAACACGCACGAGACTGTCATTTCTTATTTTCCCGCTGCTGCTGCAGTACTGATGGCTAAGCTATTTACTTACTGTTGTAAGTAAATGCTGATACCTTTTTTTGTTGCATTCTGTACATTACCTATTTGAATCTAATAATCTGCATTAGCTAGAATGTGCATTTGATTTTAAAACGTCCTTTTCAGTTTGTTTATCCCACATTCACAGTGTTCATATGTGTACCTAAATAGCCCAGGAGAAGCACAAAAGTGTCTTCAGTATCATATGTGAAAATATATTTTGGTATCAAAGCATAATAATAATAATAATAATAATAAAAGTGTGGGGAGAAATTGGTCTCATTGTTTTTTTATAGGTTTTGAAAGATCTTATTTTAGCTGCTGCAAACTAAGGGAACTGCAGATTTTTCTTTGCATAGTCAGTTCACATGTGCATAATCACTGACCATAGCATTGTGATGACTTTGCTCCATGTGTATGTCTTCCCATGATGGGAGATACACTTTTTTCTTTTAAAGTAACCCTCTGCTCAGTTCTTTAAACAATAAGCCATTTAAGCATGACCAGGAGCCTGTTCTCATGGATGTTAAAAGTTTATGGGTGTGCAGTTTATTCACCCGAGTCAACTGAGGTGCCCGTTTTCAAGCAGGGGGCTTATTGCGTAAACAGCACTTCCTGCTGAGGTTTCTGCTTTCATGCGATTACTAAAACAACGGCTCCTCTCTGCAATAGCTGCTTTCACGATAAGCTTTTCAATCAATCAGCCTGATAATAGTTACCATGGCATAAACCTGGCCCGTAAAAACAAAAAGATAGTCATTATGCCACTGTTTATGTAAGAACTACTTCAAACTTTGTGGTATACTTCATAGGTATAGTGAACAGTGACTACCACAATTTATCCAAGGGAATGTGGGCTGAATAACTGTACTTCATTGAATATTATAGTTGACAAGCCTCCAGGTTTCCACAGTGCATTGGTTTCCAGGTTTAATGTCACATTTCTGTTCTCATTTTTGTATCTGTATCTGAATAGGTTGATGCAGATAGTCTCCACAAAGAGATGTTCCTGGCCTGTATCACTTGGAATTTCAAGGGGGCTATTGTTGAATGCTTCCCTGTACACACACAAAAAAGACTTTATTCACATAGAAAACTAGATGTCAGGAAGGTTTATAACTTACCCTTTCCCCTAATGTGTTAGTTCTCTATAGGTTTGAATGGGGGAGCATTTAAAACTGATTTGCAGTCTGAATTTGTGCAGTCTAGGACAGACAAAAGGAAGTACTACTTCATACAGCACATCATAGTTAAGCTATGAGGTACAGTATCACAAGATGTAGTGATGGTTGCCAGCTTGGAAACCTTTAAAATGAGATTAGGCAAGTTGATGGCATGTAATGCTTCCAGTGGCTACTCTTCCAATTGCTGCGGAGCAGGAGACTGCTGTTGTGGTCCTGTCTGCTTGTGGGTTCTCCATAGGCATCTGGCTGGGCCCTGTGTGAAGACATTACTGGGATAAAGAGTCTTTGGTCTGACTCAATATGGCTGTTGTTCAGTTTTATTGCATGATCTCAGTTAATGACTGCAGTGGCAGTAGCCGCCCAGAGTGGCTGGGGAAACTCAGCCAGATGGGCGGGGTATAAATAATAATAATAATAATAATAATAATTGCAACTTAACCTACACTGTGTATTGTTACTGCTTCCTAGAGTTTTGTCTCCCAGTCACCAATTTTCAGTTGATGGGGCAGGGGAAACTAGTCTGGCTGTAACCCTTATTGTGGGGAGTCTGAAATCAGTAATCTGAAAGTGATTGTGTCCCAAAATTAAACTAAAGATTGTCAGATTTATGGTTCTATCCATGTGTTGAATATTTACATGTTATGCTCCCTGCTGCCTTGTGACTTTCTTAGTCATGTCCCTGAGGTGGAATGTATTTTAAAGAAGAGTAGTATTGACTTGCCTCCAAAACAAATTCTTTATGCTAGAAATAATGTTCTGATTGTGTTATTTACAAAGCATCCTGAAATGACTGTAGGTAATACTTACCGTAAGTTTGTCCCTTTAAAAACAAGACAGTGTAATGTTGCAATCCTATGGAGCAAGTCCTATTGCACATCAGCATAGATAATTCTCAAGTTAATGCATAAGATTGGATTTCATGTTTCTAGCCATGTATTTAAATGATTTTGGTATTTGGTTTTCAGACTCTTACAAGGTGAAACTGTATTTACAAATCTTCAAATGTAGTTCTTTCAAAATTAACATATATTATTTTTTAAAAAAATAACTACTGTTTTCTTTATTTAAGGTCCCTTGAAGAATTGAGTACATTGGTCACCATGCATGTTGTCGTCGTCTTCTTCTTCTTCTTCGTCTTCTTCTTCTTCTTCTTCTTCTTCTTCTTCTTCTTCTTCTTCTCCTCCTCCTCCTCCTCCTCCTCCTCCTCCTCTTAGTTTTTAACTGGGGTGTTTGTGTTACTTCCTGGTGCAACTGGACTTCTCTGCGACCCTTCTCCTCTGCAGGGAGGTGGGACTGATTCAGATGGTCTGCCCCCACCACTTAATGGATCCAAATGGTTTCCAGAGAATGCTGGGGATGTTTTCTCCCACGTTGATGGCCTTTCAGCTGATTCCCTGGTGGCCCGCTGGAATGTGGCGTTAACTAGGGCTATCGAATATCCGGCTCCGAAGCACCCTCTCCGATTGCATGGAGCTCAGACAGCCCCATGGTTTTCCCCAGAGCTGAGGGCAATGAAACAATCGTTGAGACGGCTAGAGTGCTGGTGGTGGAAAACTCATTCTGAATCAGACCGGACACAGGTTAGAGCTCAACGTCGAGCCTACCAAGTGGCAATAGCGATGGCGAAGAGGACCTTCTTTATTGCCTCTATTCCATCTGCAGAAAACAGCAGCAGGAGACTCTTTCAGGTGGTTCGTAATTTAACGGAACCACCTGTACCATAAGGGCCTGATAAGGCCCCCAAGATCTCCTGCAATGATTTTGCAAAGCTTTCTGCAGATAAAGTCGCTCAGATTCGGAAAGAGGTAGACTCCACCGTGGGAGCAAGGCCGTGGCAGGAGAGTGCCAGAGTCTTGTCTAGTCTAGTTGCATAGGATCAATTTCAATCTTTTACCTTCAAGGATGTAGACAGGTTGCTTGGACAAGTGAAACCAACCACCTTTCCCCTTGATCCTTGCCCCATCCTGGCTAATAAGAGCAAGCCGGGTAGGGCTGGGCGATGGGCTCTGCGATGTGGTGAATGCTTCCCTCTGTGAGAGAGTCTCCCCAGCCCCGCTGAAAGAGGCAGTCATTAAACCGCTTCTTTAAAAAACATCTCTTGACCCGGCCAATATGGCCAACTATTGCTCAGTCAGTCTCAAATCTTCCATTCTTGGGCAAGGTGATTGAGCAGGTGGTTGCTGAACAACTCCAAGCATGCCTGGAGGATGCGGACCATTTGGATCCCTTCCAATCAGGATTCAGGCCTCATCATCATGGGACTAAAACTGCCTTGGTCGTGCTGGTTGATGATCTCTGGCGGGCTAGGGACAAGAGTGAAAGCTGTTTCCTAGTTCTGCTGGATCTCTCAGCGGCCTTTGATATCATCAACCATGACATCCTTCTGGACCGTCTAGAGGAGCTGGGAGCTGGGGCAGGTGACTGGGAGTGGCTGCTGAGACCATATAACACCAGTCCTGAAAGACCTACATTGGCTTCCAGTACATTTACAAGCACAATTCAAAGTGTTGGTGTTGACCTTTAAAGCCCTAAATGGCCTCGGCCCAGTATATCTGAAGGAGCATCTGCACCCCCATTGTTCACTGAAGTCCAGCTCTGAGGGCCTTCTGGTGGTTCCCTCGCTGCGAGAAGTGAGGTTACAGGGAACCAGACAGAGGGCCTTCTCAGTGGCGCCTGCCCTCCCTCCATATGTCAAGGAAATAAACAACTACCTGACTTTTAGAAGGCAGCCCTGTTTAGGGAAATTTTTAATGTTTGGTGTTTTATCACTTTATTATTATTAATAATAATATTCTGTTGGGAGCTGCCCAGAGTTGCTGGAGAAACCCAGCCAGATGAGCAGGGTATTATTATTATTATTATTAATTACAGAGCAAACAGGTAAACAAAGAATGGTACATATATTGTCTCTACTTTCAATTCATATTCTTTTTCACAGTTCATTTATGTTTGGTGAGAGACATTTTTTGTCATAGACATCTTGCAGTTGGGGAAAACGGGAGTGGGGGAGAGAGATGGGGATGTTGTTATTTCATTCTACATATTCTTAATGTAGGGGGGGTTGTGTCAGCATCACATGGGTAGGTTTTCTGTTTGTATATTTATTTATTTTTATTGATATTGTGAGAGGTTAGCATTTCCAAGATTGGTTGGCTGTATTTAGTTGATTGCGGTGTGGCTAACTTGTGGAAGTTCTGGCTTACTTGTGGAAGTAATAGGGCTAGTTCTGGAGTTGCTTCTATTACTTGTTTTGTTATTTTGGGAATTTCCTGCGGCACTGATATCCAGAAGGATTGGACTTTGGGGCATTCCATATTGTTCTCTTCTTGATGAAGACTAAATACGTTTAGACTTTGGGTACAATACAGCAAATTTAGGCTGCAAACTTATATGAACAGAACTGAGAGATCAGTGGAACTTACTTATCAGTAGATATGTAAAGGACTGTGTTAAAGCCCATTGATTTGAAACCAGTGGGTAGATAGCTTGATCATGCCTTATTGATTTGGCACTCATTATTATAATTGTTAACTTCTTAAGCACCGCTCCGCTATGCTTGTCAAATTGTATGTTTGTTTAGCCTTTAAATTGTGATTTCAGTGGGCCTGAAAACACTACTCGGGCACTTCATAAACGTGTTTGGTGATGGCTTTCTATCTTTACATAAGGGTATACAGTGGTACCTCAGGTTACGTACGCTTCAGGTTACAGACTCCGCTAACCCAGAAATATTACCTCGGGTTAAGAACTTTGCTTCAGGATGAGAACAGAAATCGTGCTCCGGCGGCGCGGCAGCAGCAGGAGGCCCCATTAGCTAAAGTGATGCTTTAGGTTAAGAACAGTTTCAGGTTAAGAACGGACCTCTGGAACGAATTAAGTACGTAACCACAGGTACCATTGTAATGCAAGAGACATTCTTTTGAACACTTCTTTACTTGAAGGCTTTGTAGCATATGAAAGCTTCATGAGTGCATCTTTGATGATAAAGATATACTGTATAGCATATTCTCCCAACTCTAGAGAGAAAAAGAGGGATACTTCTAAAGTATATTAACAACCTTTTTCTTGCACTATGGAGAATAGGAGGCCTTGTTGCTTCCACACTTTACATATTTATGAAAGCTAAGAATTTGAGTGGCGTTTTTGTTCTTACAGGAGATCTGGTTGTACTTTATGAACCAGAGCTGCAGCCCAAGCAAACTGGGTTATTGGAAGGGTGCAGTTTGTGCCCATGTACATGTATTTACATTCATGTGCCCTATTTATAACGATGTGTTTGTCTCACTCAGAGATTTAACTACAGTGGTACCTCGGATTAAGTACTTACCGTATTTTTTGCTCTATAAGACTCACTTTTCCCCTCCTAAAAAGTAAGGGGAAAGGTGTGTGTGTCTTATGGAGCGAATGCAGGCTGCGCAGCTATCCCAGAAGCCAGAACAGCAAGAGGGATTGCTGCTTTCACTGCACAGCGATCCCTCTTGCTGTTCTGGCTTCTGAGATTCAGATTTTTTTTTCTTGTTTTCCTCCTCCAAAAACTAGGTGCGTCTTGTGGTCTGGTGCGTCTTATAGAGCGAAAAATACGGTAATTCGTTCCGGAGGTCCGTTCTTAACCTGAAACGGTTCTTAACCTGAAGCACTACTTTAGCTAATGGGGCCTCCTGCTGCCGCCGTGCCACCGGAGCCCTGTTTCTGTTCTTATCCTGAAGCAAAGTTCTTAACCTGAAGCACTATTTCTGGGTTAGCGGAGTCTGTAACCTGAAGCGTATGTAACCCAAGGTACCACTGTACTTCTAGAGAATTAATTTTGTTGGTGAACACTTTTATTTGTTTTGAGAAGACATTCCTTATCTCTCCCAAATTCTGACAGCATTTTTTTTACCAGAGACTCCCGAAAAGAGGAACAGCATTTACATTGTTTGTGGTCCTACTGTAATTCTCTCTGAAAGCCAATGGAAAGCTTTATAATAGTTTCCATGATGTGTATTAAATCCAAAGCAAACATACACGCTCATGAGACAGTCAGTAGATGTGTCTCATGGATTGTCTGAATCATGAAAGGTTTGTTGATGTACTCTGGAACAAAGCAGCTCCATCCAGTTTGGTATGTGGTTTGCTTTTGAAATTCCAATTTATCTGTAATAAAACACATAGTAGTGGCTTTTATTCTCTGGACAGTTACGCTCCTTAAACCACGTGGGTTTTAATGGATTTAAACAGTATAAACTTGTTAAAAAAGTTCAGCCAAACTGAGAAATCTACTCTAAAGAAGACATGCACAAACAGTTCTGCAGCAGTTCTGCCTTTCATGGGATTTCTACACCATAATCATTTATGGTAATTACTGTTTTACACCAGTTTTACAGTCATTTACAACAGTTTATTGATCTGCAGTTCTCACTGTTCACTAGGGTCTACCTGTTCATTAAATAAGTTTAGATGTGTGGTGTAGGTGTGCCCTTATTCTAAATAAATGTTTTGCAAAAGTAAACATGATCTACAATATCCTGAAAAGCGAGGAGCAGCATGGAAGTGAGTGGCCGCCACTGCCACAGACACCGCTGCCACCGCCGCTCCTCGCTTTTCAGAATATTGTAGACAGTGGTGGGTTCTGACAATTGGCGGGCCGGATTGAGGACTCTGGTGGGCTGGATCCAGCCTGCGGACCTTAGTTTGAGGACCCCTGCTTTAAAGTAAAGATCCATAGATTTAGCTAAGCATTCTTTACACACTGCAAAGTATCATTTCTGGTTCCTGGGGGGATGTGCACCAAAGTTTAAGTTAACAGAGACTAATGCATGATTAGAGACTGTTATAGACCCAATTTCTGCATTCACCACCTGATGAAGATCACCTTTTGGTATTAATATTAGGTCTATCCATGACATTGATTTACAGTGGTACCTCGGGTTAAGTACTTAATTCGTTCTGGAGGTCCGTACTTAACCTGAAACTGTTCTTAACCTGAAGCACCACTTTAGCTAATGGGGCCTCCTGCTGCTGCCGTGCAGCTAGAGCACGATTTCTGTTCTCAACCTGAAACAAAGTTCTTAACCTGAAGCACTATTTCTGGGTTAGCGGAGTATGTAACCTGAAGCGTATGTAACCTGAGATACCACTGTAGTAGCTTTCCCCATTAGAAGCAATATCTTTGAAAAAAGTGAATATGAGGGCTAAATGGTGGACATACAGAGAGCTGTTAACCGAAGTAGAAAATCAGGTAAAATTAAAAAACTTTGAAGAGAAGAGAACTGGTAACAAATTGGTCACAGTTTCATCAAATTAAATGATATTTCTAAGACAGAAAGGTTTTAGTTATGAGTTATCAAGATTTCAAAAAGATGTCTTAGAAAATAATACAAAATTATTGTTGAAAATGTATAATTTGCTCCTGGAATGGCATACAAAAGACGAACTGGTTAAATCAGTGATGATACACTGGGCGAAATACTTGGGACATAATATACAAATGATAGACTGGGAGAGGCTATGGAAAACAGATTTGAAATTTATGGCATGTTGTTCATTGAAAGAAAACTATATGGAAATGATGTACTGGTGGTATTTGACCTCTGTTAACTTAGCAAAAATGTATAGAACGAGCACAAATATGCTGGAAATGTAAAGAAAAAGAAGGTACCTTTTATCATTTTTGGTGGACGTGTAATAAAAAAATTCTGGGAGATGATATATAATGAAATGAAAAAAATGTTTAAAATAACTTTTGTTAATAAACCAGAAGCTTTCTTATTAGCAATTATAGGTACCAAGATTCCAAAAGACCAGAAAAGTTTGTTTATGTATGTAACAACAGCTGCACGGATACTACTAGCCCAGAGATGGAAGGAAGAGACAATCCTGACCAGAGAAGAATGGCAAATCAAGATGATGGACTATGCCGAAATGGCAAAATTAACTGGGAAGCTCAGAAATCAAGAAGACAAGAACCTTTAAAAAGAATGGGGAAAGTTTATAATTTATTTATGAAACCACTGCAAGCAGGTTAACACATTTTCAGGATTTTAACCACACTTGTAAAGTAACAGAAAGTATAGATAATTTAGGATAACAATTTGGATAAGTATTGATATGCAGTTGTAATTATTATGTTATGCTTGATTGAGTGGAGTCCAGATCCTTTTCATGCATAAGGAAGCAAAACAATTTCTTTCTTCTGTTCAGAGTTGTCTTATTTCTTTATGCCTTTTTTGGTTGTCCAGGCTGAAAGGGTACTCTTGCGTGCTTGAACTGGGGAGAGGCGTTGAGGAGAGTCTTGGAGCTGGAGCTCTTTGAGAATGTTGTCAGCCTGCTAGTTCTGGTTCTGGTTTGTGCTGGACTATGTCTGCTTCTTTTAGAGCTGATGTATAAGGTCGAAGAGCCCTCCGCCATCCCAGTGTGACTTGGCTGATGCCCTGGAATGTGGTGGAGTCTCCTTCTTTGGAGGTCTTTAAGCAGAGGCTTGACAACCATATGTCAGGAGTGCTCTGATGGTGTTTCCTGTTTGGCAGGGGATTGGACTCAATGGCCCTTGTGGTCTCTTCCAACTCTATGATTCTATGATTTTATGATTTCAATGGTGGCTTTGCTGTATCTTAGGTTTCTAAGCTTCAGTAGTGCTTTGAAAAATGAATGAGCCTATAATGTTCAAAGTGAATTTCTAGATCTCTCAGGGTTTCCCCCGTTCTGCTTTCGCCTCTTGGAACCCGGTCAGCTCTTTCTGTGTCATTGGGGGACAGTGGTATGTTTAAATTCAGGGAGAGTATCCAGTCAATAATGAACTGAACCACATCCCCACTTCCTGGATCTCTAGTAGGCCTCTTAGATGATTCCCCCCCCACCACCACCTTTCCCATCTGATTGTTCCTCCAGCTTCATAACTAAAAATCTCCAGTAATTTGTAAGAGCTGGATCTCAGACTGGTTGGTTAGAGCAAGATTGTGTGCATTATTTGCTGTTTTAGAAATATCTGATATTTGGTTAGAAAGCATATCAAATTTCTGCACAAACGGAGCTAGAGCATTGGTTGCCAGATGTGAAATGTATTGGCATTATTTTCAGCTCTCCCACCCCACTACTTAACCATCTCCCTGTCTGAACACTCTCTCAGAAACTGCTCCTTTTATTTTACCTTCCAAAGTACTGGCTCCACTCCCCCCCCCCCACTAGCTCTCTGGTGGAGTTCTGAGGTACTACATCACCAGACTCTGGTCTGACTCTGCTGTCCATCACAGTCATCTGGGGTAGCTAAGGGGCCTGGATTGGGTTCCTATCTGGTAAAATGACCAGATCCAGAAGAACCACGGCCAGCCAGCTCTGCCCACCCCTATGTTCTGCTGCTTTGGGGCCCTTCACTAGCCATTGCCAGCCAGAACACTATTGGAGGCCTCTGTTACCCAGCCAAGCGACCTCTCCTTTAGCTTGACCACCTCCAGCAGCAGTGGCCAAGGGGTACCAGAATTGTGGTGTACAGTGGTACCTCGGGTTAAGAACTTAATTCGTTCTGGAGGTCCGCTCTTAACCAGAAACTGTTCTTAACCTGAGGTACCACTTTAGCTAGTGAGGCCTCCCGCTGCCACTATGCGATTTCTGTTCTCATCCTGAAGCAAAGTTCTTAACCCAAGGTATTATTTCTGGGTTAGCAGAGTCTGTAACCTGAAGTGTCTGTAACCCGAGGTACCACTGTATCTCCATGCCAAGAAAAAGTCACCTGATTTATTTCTCCATATCAGGTTGCTCTTTAAAAGGCACAGGATCAGAGACGGGGGCGGGAGGATTGGAAACGCAGCTGAGTGGTAATGATGTGGGTTTCCTGGACATTTTTGAAACGTTTTCCACAATTATTTCCCATTGCCCAAAATTAATAGCTATTGATTCAGTGTGTTTATTTGATTTACATTTAGGCAACAAAACAAAGCATGTACGTCATATTAATTCTACCTGCTGTGCAGAAACTCTGAAAAGTTTTTCCAATAGGAAAATGCTGTTGAGTGGAAATATGTGGAAAATATTAGTTTGTGTAGAAAGTAAATACAGATCAAATCCAGCACAGGCCTAACTGGAGTGGAGGTGGGGAGTGAGGATCTCTTTGAAGTTCAATCTTTTACACCAGAGACGGTACATACTGCAGGTTTTCCCCCAGCTTCGTCAGTTCAGAGCGTGTCTGTTTGTTTTTCAAATCTTCATATTTTCCCAAACAGATGCGTCCAGCTATGGGGTGGCATTGCAGGAGTGTCAGTCCGTCCCTTGCTCCGTGACCCAGTGCCCCTGCCGTGGGGCAAACCGCGGGTCATTGAGACAGTCCTCCACTGCCCTGGGGAGGCTGCCAGGGCTAATTACCCCCATATCAGCCCTGAATTATCGAAACGGCTGGAGTCTGATCGTGTGGGAGTCCGCCATTTCCCACCGCCGGAAACAGGAAGTCCATCAATTCAATACTTGAGCCATTGGGAGGGGAATACTTTGGATCCTGCTGATTCTTGGAAGCCTTGCCAGCAGAATGTCCCATTTTGTTTCCTAAAGCCAGCTTCTGCCAGTGGAAGCATCTCTGGGGGCAGATCTACACCCATAGAACAGTTTTCACCAGTAGTGGAGAGTCTCAGCAATGCGACTCTGTGCCCCACTGATGGGACTCCTCTTTCCCGACCAAGCCTGCAGATCTGGGGTTTAAGATTGTACTGCCTGTGTAGTTAAGTTTTCAAACAAATTCAAAGCTTTGCTTGAAATTTATTTTTGCTGGAATACTTGTGAATATTTTAAGACACAACCACTCAATAGCATACACTTCCCTTACTTTATTTAGATTTTAAGAAGAAAATGAAAACACCGAAAAGGCTCCTCATACTAATTTTAGCATGCTTGAAGAGTTGTTCATATATTATGTGCTTCTTTGGGATCATCACCTGGGAAATAGTTCAGTCATTTATTTTAGATTTGAATAGCGATGGCCTGATTTACAAGCAGAGCTAGACCATGGGTTAGCTTTGCAGGGACAATCTTTTGTGAACCTTGGACTTGCACACGTTACCCTCTCTTCTTCTCTAGCATGGCCATGAGGCGATCAGAAGCTTCTGTCTCCATTTTAGACCACCAAATTTGGGATTGTGCCTGAACCCTAAATTGTGGTTAATTTTATTCATGGCTGGTTGAAATATTATAGTTTCTTAAATATGGTTGTAGGTTGATTTATTTTCAACTAGCAAAGATTAACCAGTTTGTCAGGACTTGATGTTAAAAAATCTGTGATTAACCTAAAATGGAAGCAAAATGAACTTCTCCTTGTGGCTGTATCAGAGGACAAGGGACCCTACAAGTCCCACTCTGCCTTGTCTTCTAATGCTAAACTATGGTTTAGCCAAGTGTAATAATTTCAGTTGCTCTGTTTGACTTGTATTGTAGTCATTAATAATGTTCGTAATTAATGTCATGAAACAATGTCTTTCTAAAAGTGGAAATTTTTCCATGCCATATCACTGCTGCCTAGTGGGGCACAGCTCTCGATTAAGGCTCACTTAGCAACCAAGTTCCTGGTTTTCATGGTAGCATAAGAAAACCAATGCAAAACAATGCATTTCTTCCTCTGGCAAAAGAAAGTGTTTGCGTAATAAGAACTACCGTACTTTTCCATGTATAAGACTATTTTTTTCCTTTAAAAATCATGCTAAGAAGTGGGTGTTGTCTTATACATGGGAGCGCCTTATAGACAGAAAAGTATGGTATGTCACAGAAGATAGCTGAGTTGCTTTAGGGTATTGCTATTATGCAATAAAACTTGGAGAGGTGTTTTCAGCAGTCAGCATGGGGCGGGGTGGCTTTAGCTGCATGGAATAAATCGCTCAGCATGACTTGGGTTGTTGTTTTTTGAGTGCATGAACAAGAGGGGGATTGTGGTGCTCTCAAGGTGGCAGGCTGGCACTTCAAAGTAGTGTCACAGCCCCAGTAGGAGTTGAGCCCAAGTAGGAGTACACCCTGTAGGAATGAGAACAGCCCTGGGGCTTGCCCATGGACCTAATATTTGACATTAGTTATAGGTACATCAGCAGTGCCAGGAGCATTTCTGCTACCACATGACATTACAGCAGTTGTAACCTGAGGCAATTTACTGATTTTTGCAATAAGTTTTATTTACAGCTTTCCCCTATATGCTAACTGGAAGTCATTATGCTAATTCACAAAGCCACCTGTTAGATAATGCCTGGGCTGTTTCCAGTTTTCTGGGGGCCCTTGGTGCTATTTTTCTAGAAAAAGAAGTGCTGGAACTCACCATAAATGTCTCCCTTGTTTTCTTATAATGGCAATGGTGCCCACCTGAGAGGGGCCAAAACTGAGTTCCAGTGAGTTCTGGCTGAAAACAGCCCTGCATGGAGCTGATGGAAAATTTGCATTTTAAAAGAACATGCTTTTAACATCAGCCTGACACATTGATGTAAGATGGGAAGCCTTTCCTGGCTTGAAGATAAATGGTGGGAGTTGCATTGAGTTGATTAAATACAGTATTTGTATTCCGCTTTTCTAACAGCAAATGCTGAGCTCAAAACAGCTCACAATAATCACAATAGCATTAAAAAACACACACATTGCAATCACTACAGTGGTACCTCCGGTTGTGGATGGGATCTGTTCCAGAGCTCCAGCTGGATCCTGAGGTTTCAGCAACCAGAGGTGCCTGTTCTGTGCATGCACGTGGCATGTAGAGCGCTTCTGTGCATGCACGAGCGGCGAAACCCAGAAAAATACTTCCGGGTTTGCTGCTTTCACAACCCGAAGTTTACATTACCTGAGGGTAACCGTAAGCTGAGATTCTACTGTATAATATAAACCAAAGAATATAAAGCAAACCACAAGAACGAAACCACCAAAACAATGGCAGTGGCACAAGTACTCTCAGCTGCCACCTTGATGCCTTAAGTTTGACCATTTTTTTAATATGCCATTGATGGGCAAGAATGGCCCCAGATTGGAGACGATGGTGGGAGCAGAAGTGAGTGAGAACAGTAGGGAGGATGCAGCAGGCAGGAGGAAGATGGAGGAAAAAGGCACTCTTTGTGGGGACAGACGAGCAAAAGAGGTGGTTGCTGTGGTGTGGTATGTGTGTGTGTTGGGTGGGTGGGGGGGAGAAATGACAGCAACCATGACCTACCTTGGATGCCAGCTGTGTTGTGCTTTCCATGATGAATGGGCTGGGGAATAAGAAGGTCCTGGAAGGGGCATTTGGGTCTCAGTATAAACCCAAACAAATTCTGCTTCTCTTTGGGAATAGGCTTTCCACAGTGTTGCCTCCTCTTTGCCTAAGTGAACCCATAGCATTGGCTGGCTTTCTGTGAGGTTTAAGCAGTGAATGAAGTGGGGGAAATGAGGATTTTCTCTAAACACAATGAAAGGAAACCTTATAATAAACTAACTGAAATACAAAGCTTTCCCAGCACATTACCTTCTAGCTCTTGTTTTCCATCCTGTTTCTGCATTCCAGGTCCCTTTGCAAGACTTGTACTGGGTACTAATTCCTTAAGAAACACTGAAAACGTTCATGTTAAGAGTTTGGCCTAGTGACAACTTACTTGTTCCACTGCCAGCCATTCATGGCTTTGCTTTTTAGGCCAGGGAGATGAAGAACCAGTACCCGATGTCAGCTGGAAGCTGTTTGGGCTTTCTGCTCCCATCAGCTATTACACAGCCCAATCCCCACAACACACTTTTGAGCTGACATTATCCCTGAATACTCACTCTCTCCTTTGTATGGGTCCACTTAGTGGGCAGTTGGTAGTTTAGTATTGGTCAGCACCATATCATATCTTGCCTCTCAGCACTCCATTCTTCCTTGGTCAATTTTTGTTTTCACCTCTTCGGACTCGCTCAAGAATAAAATATGGGCATCCAGGTTTTGCTACAGGAAGCAGAGATAGCAAGGCTTAGCTCTTGCTGCTGCTCTTCATCATCATCATCATCATAATAATAATAATAATAATAATTTTATTTATATCTTGTCCTCCCCAGCTGAAGTTGGGTTCAGAGTGGCTAGCAACAGTAAAATAATACAGCATTCTAAAATCAATTCTAATGAATTGATTCAGTTCAAATCAAATTCATGTGCTCTGCTCACTTCTGCATCTCCTTACATCTCGCACCAGGTACTCATGCATAACTTCCACTTGAGCCCAGCGCAGTACTTTTTCTTCCTCTGCACTTCCTCCAACCTATGAGTCCTGGAGATGGAAGTTAATTGGGAACAGAGAAGTGGAAGAAGAAGAGGAAAACCCCCTAGAGAGTCTGCAATAATTTGCAGCCAGCAAATTGGGTTGGGTTGAAACTTGCAACACAGTCTTCTCAATAAAGTTTTTTTTTAAGTATTTTCACCCATCTGCAGATTGAAACCTTCCCCTTGCTCCTGGTAGCTGGCAGGCAAACATGGAGATTTCAGGTCAGCCCTGGAAGTTTGGCAACCCTAGTTGTTGCTCAGGAGGCCCTATATCATATTGCAAAGGCCCACTTTCCACCAAGTGCATCTCTGCAGATGGCAGAACATAAAGCAGAACCTCAGTTGTGAAAAGCAGTGCAGAAGCAGGTTCCTGTGGGAGGTGTTTTCTCGAGGATGTAAATGGGTGAAAATTTTCTCGCTAATTCCACCATGTAGTTTTGATTTCTGGCAACTTCCATTTCCCCTTCAGCATGTATGCTAGAGCAGGGGTCCTCAAACTTTTTAAACAGGGGGCTGGTTCACTGTCCCTCAGATACTGTTGGGGACCGGACTATAGTTTGAAAAAAATATGAACAAATTCCTGTGCACACTGCACATATTTTATTTGTAGTGCATAAAAAACAGGGGAAAATACAATATTTAAAATGAGGAACGATTTTAATCAACATGGGGTGGGGTGCTAGCCATGGCTCCTTTGTCGCCCCAACTCCCCACACTGCAGATCCGTGCGCTTCTTTCCCGCCCAGCCCGAGTTTCCCACGCTTACCCAGATTGAAGAGTATGGTTCCCTTGAGGCTGCTGCTACTGTTGCTGCAGGTCCCAGCCTCCAGCTTCTCCTGGGTCTTGTGCAGCAGCACAACTTGGTGGTGGTGGTGCTGCTGCCTCTCCTCTTCGGCCCGCTTGTCCGTCAAAAATAAATCCTGTGCAGCATGCTGGGCTCTGTGGTCTCCACCGTCTTGAAGTACACGCGGTCCTGGGCCAGCCCCAGCATGAGCAGCGGAGCCCAGCAGCTGCGCACCAGCACCAGCTGCTCGTTCAAGGGCAGCTCGTGGAAGCACGGCACGTTCTGAATCTTGACAAAGTGCAGCGTCTTCGCCATCACCAACTTGCACGCCACCTGCGGACTCTGGAGAGCCACGTGCTTCTGCAAGCTGCAGGAGCAGCTGGGACCTGCCGCATGCCTGCTGGAACTAGCCGCCGCCACCACTGCCGCCGCTCCTCACTTTTCAGGATATTGTAGACAGTGGCAGGTTCTGGCAATTAGCGGGCTAGATTGAGGACCCCTGTGCTAGAAGAATGCTATCTGGATTGTTTACTAAGCACTGCTCAGTCTCCATGGGAAAACCTCACCCCCTGGAAAAGTCCTCAGAACATGAACCCCATGTAGTAGTTCTGTAATCTGTCTGTGACCTAGAGTAATAAGGGGAGAGTGCCATTAATAATAATAATAATAATAATAATAATTTATTATTTATACCCCACCCATCTGGCTGGGTTTCCCCAGCCACTCTGGGTGACTTCCAACAGAACACTAAAATACAATAACCTATTCATGCGGAAACTAGGGGTGTTTCTCTAGGGAACTATTAGGACACCCCAGAGCACTACTCATTTACAAGCTGCGGGTTATAAATTGCTGGTTTAAATTTCAGAGAGATTTGCCAAAATGACATTATGCTTGCTAGGAAGTGGAAAAGTTTTGTTGATTGTTCAGTGTTCGGGCTTTCAGAGAGTTGTTCACTGGTAGTGAATCTACCTTAATTATGCTTTCTCCAATGTGCTTATAAAAGTCATAGATGAAAGGATTCATGTAACTTCCTTTGGGAGTGTTTCTATAAACGAATAGATCTCACTGCATGAATGTTTCCACTGTTTACTACATTTTCCCTTTCTTAACATGCAAATAGTTTCTCATGACAACTGACTTCATGTTAACTGTTTATTCTTATTGTTACTTTAACTTCCCTTTTGAGAATTGCTAGATGTTGTAGGGTGACTGTTGTTATATTTACAACTCTTGTTAGATAATAGCTGAAATGCAGAGTTCATTGTCCTCAGTGTCAAGGCTGAACAAAGGAGGTGGAGACGCTCCTTCAGGTATACTGGGCTGATGCCGTTTAGGGCTTTAAAGGTCAGCACCAACACTGAATTGTGCTCAGAAACGTACTGGGAGTCAATGTACGTGTTTCAGGACTGGTGTTATGTAGACTCGGCGGCCGATCCCAGTCACCAGTCTAGCTGCCGCATTCTAGATTAGTTGTAGCTTCTGGGTCACCTTCAAAGGTAGCCCCACGTAGAGTGCATTGCAGTAGTCCGAGCAGGAGATAACCAGAGCATGCACCACTCTAGCGAGACAGTTTGCGGGCAGGTAGGGTCTCAGCCTGCGTACCAGATGGAGGTGGCAGACAGATGCCCTGGACACAGAATTGACCTGCTCCTCCATGGACAGCTGTGAGTACAAAATGACTCCCAGGCTGCACACCTGGTCCTTCAGGGGCACAGTTACCCCATTCAGGACCAGGGAGTCCTCCGCAGCTGCCCGCCCCCTGTCCCTCCAAATCAGTACTTCTGTCTTGTTAGGATTTAACCTCAATCTGTTAGCTGTCATCCATCCTCCAACCACCTCCAGCTACTCACACAGGACATTCACCGCCTTCACTGGTTCCGATTTAGAAGAGAGGTAGAGCTGGGTATCATCCGCATGAACACTGAAGAACACCCAGCCCTGATGATCTCTCCCAGTGGCCTCATATAGAGGCACCCCACAAGTGAGAGCCCAGGGGTCTGAAAACTCATCCCCCAACACCACTTTCTGGACACGGTGCAGGAGGAAGGAGGGGAACCACTGTATAACAGTGCCCCCAGCTCCTTTAGACGGTCCAGAAGGATGTTATGGTTGATGATATCAAAGGCCGCTGAGAGATCCAGCAGAACTAGGAAACAGCTTTCACCCTTGTCCCTAGCCTGCCAGAGATCATCGACCTGCGTGACCAAGGCAGTTTTAGTCCCACGATGATGAGGCCTGAATCCTGATTGGAAGAGATCCAAATGGTCCGCATCCTCCAGGCATGGAGTTGTTCAGCAACCACCTGCTCAGTCACCTTGCCCAAGAATGGAAGATTTGAGACTGGGCGATAGTTGGCCATATCGGCCGGGTCAAGAGATGTTTTTTTTTAAGGAGCGGTTTAATAACTGCCTCTTTCAGCGGGTCTGGGAAGGTTCCCTCACAGAGGGAAGCATTCACCACCCTGCAGAGCCCATCACCCAGCCCTTCCTGACTCGCTTTTATGGGCAAGGATCAAGGATACAGGTGGTCGGTTTCACTCGTCCAAGCAGCCTGTCCACATCCTCAGAGGTAACAGATTGGAACTGATTCCATGCAACTTGACTAGACAGGACTCCAGCACTCTCCTGCCCCGGCCCTGCTCCCACGGTGGAGTCTACTTCTTTCCAAATCTGAGCAACTTTGTCTGTAAAAAACTTTGCAAAATCATTGCAGGAGATCTTGGGGTCTTTACCACTCCCTGGTGGCAAAGGTGGTTCCTTTAGATTGTGAACCACCTGAAAGAGTCTCCTGCTGCTATTTTCTGCAGATGCAGTAGAGGCAGTGAAGAAGGTCCTCTTGCCATTGCTATCGCCACTTGGTAGGCTTGACTCTAACCTGTGTCTGGTCTGATTCAGAGTGTTTTCCACCACCGGCACTCTAGCTGTCTCAAGGATCGTTTCATCACCCTCAGCTCTGGGGAAAACCACAAGGCTGTCTGGGTTCCATACAATCGGAGAGGGCGCTTTTGGAGCCAGACAGTCGATAGCCCTAGAATCATAGAATCATAGAATCATAGAGCTGGAAGAGACCACAAGGGCCATCAAGTCCAACCCCCTGCCAAGCAGGAAACACCATCAGAGCACTCCTGACATATGGTTGTCAAGCCTCTGCTTAAAGACCTCCAAAGAAGGAGACTCCACCACACTCCTTGGCAGCAAATTCCACTGTCGAACAGCTCTTACTGTCAGAAAGTTCTTCCTAATGTTTAGGTGGAATCTTCTTTCTTGTAGTTTGGATCCATTGCTCCGTGTCCGCTTCTCTGGAGCAGCAGAAAACAACCTTTCTCCCTCCTCTATGTGACATCCTTTTATATATTTGAACATGGCTATCATATCACCCCTTAACCTCCTCTTCTCCAGGCTAAACATGCCCAGCTCCCTTAGCCGTTCCTCATAAGGCATCGTTTCCAGGCCTTTGACCATTTTGGTTGCCCTCCTCTGGACACGTTCCAGTTTGTCAGTGTCCTTCTTGAACTGTGGTGCCCAGAACTGGACACAGTACTCCAGGTGAGGTCTGACCAGAGCAGAATACAGTGGCACTATTACTTCCCTTGATCTAGATGCTATACTCCTATTGATGCAGCCCAGAATTGCATTGGCTTTTTTCCCTGCCGCATCACACTGTTGGATCATGTCCAGTTTTTTGTCAAACAAGACTCATAGATCCTTTTCACATGTACTGCTCTCAAGCCTGGTGTCCCCCTTGTATTTGTGCCTCTCATTTTTTTTGCCCAAGTGCAATACTTTACATTTCTCCCTGTTAAAATTCATCTTGTTTGTTTTGGCCCAGTTCTCTAATCTGTCAAGGTCGTTTTGAAGTGTGATCCTGTCTCCCAGTTTGGTGTCATCTGCAAATTTGATCAGGATGCCCTTGAGTCCATCATCCAAGTCGTTGATAAAGATGTTGAATAAGACCGGGCCCAAGACAGAACCCTGTGGCACCCCACTAGTCACTCTTCTCCAGGATGAAGAGGAACCATTGATGAGCACCCTTTGGGTTCGGTCAGTCAGCCAGTTACAAATCCACTGAGTGGTAGCATAGTCAAGACCGCATTTTACCAGCTTCTTTAAAAGAATATCATGGGGCACCTTGTCAAATGCCTTGCTGAAATCAAGGTAGGCTACATCCACTGCGTTCCCTTCATCTACCAGGCTTGTAATTCTGTCAAAAACGAGATCAGGTTAGTCTGACATGACTTATTTTTCAGAAATCCATGCTGACTATTGGTGATCACAGCATTCCTTTCTAGGTGCTCACAGACTGTTTGCTTAATGATCTGCTCCAGAATCTTCCCTGGTATTGATGTCAGACTGACTGGGCGGTAATTATTTGGGTCCTCTCTTTTCCCCTTTTTGAAAATAGGGACAACATTTGCCCTCCTCCAGTCTGCCGGGACTTCGCCTGTTCTCCAGGAATTCTCAAAGATGACGGCCAGTGGTTCTGAGATCACATCTGTCAGTTCTTTTAATACTCTTGGATGCAGTTCATCTGGCCCTGGAGACTTGAATACATCTAAACTAGCCAAGTATTCTTGTACTATCTCCTTAGTTATTCTGGGCTGTGTTTCCTCTGCTGAATCATTTGCTCCAAATTCTTCAGGTCGGGCATTGCTTTCTTTATCGGAGAAGACTGAGGCAAAGAAGGCATTGAGGAGTTCAGCCCTTTCTGTGTCCCCTGTTTGCATTTCACCATCTTCTCCTCTGAGTGACCCCACTGTTTCTTTGTTCTTCCTTTTGTCACGAACATACCCATAAAAGCCTTTTTGTTGCTTTTAACCTCTCTAGCAAGCCTGAGTTCATTCTGTGCTTTAGCTTTTCTGACTTTGTGTCTACACGTGCTGGCTATTTGTTTGAATTCCTCTTTGGTGGTTTCCCCCTTTTCCATTTTTGTACACATCCTTTTTAATCTTAACTCAGTTAAAAGTTCTTTAGATAGCCACCCTGGCTTCTTTAGGCACCTTCCATGTTTCCATCTCATTGGTATTGCCTGACGTTGTGCTTTTAGTATCTCCCTCTTAACAAACTCCCAGCCATCATGAACTCCCTTTCCTTTTAGTATTACTGTCCATGGGATCTCACCCAGCACTTCCCTAAGTTTTATGAAGTCGGCTTTCTTAAAGTCAAGAAATTGAGTCCTAGTATGCTTGGCTGCTCCTTTCTGCTGTATAGTAAACTTCAGAAGAGCATGATCACTCGCGCCTAATGATCCTTCCACTTCTACCCCACTAACCAGGTCATCAACATTGATTAGGACCAGATCTAAAATGGCTGTTCCTCTTGTTGCTTCTCCCACTTTCTGGACAATGAAGTTGTCTGCAAGGCCAGTGAGGAATCTGTTTGACCTTATGCTCTTGGCTGAGTTTGACATCCAACAAATGTCCGGGTAATTGAAGTCCCCCATTACTACTATCTCCCTTCTTTTTGCATGCTTGGCCATCTGTTCCAGGAAGGCATCATCTATGTCCTCCGTTTGGCTTGGGGATCTATAGTAAACTCCCACCATGAGGTCACTGTTATTCTTCTCTCCCTTAATTTTGACCCAAATGCTCTCACTTTGGCTTTGAGGTTCTAAATCTTGGATCTCTTCACAGGTATACACATCCCTGACATATAACGCCACTCCTCCTCCTTTCTTGTCTGGTCTGTTTCTCTGAAATAAATTGTATCCCTCCATTATTACAGCAGGCCACCAGGGAATCAGCTGAAAGGCCATCAACATGGGATAAAACATCCCCTACCACTCTTTGGAAACCATTTGGATCCATTAAGTGGTGGGGGTGGACCATCCGAATTGGTCCCACCTCCCTGCAGAGGGGAAGGGTCGGAGAAAAGTCCAGTTGCACCAGGAAGTGATCTAACCATGGCAGAGCCAGTGTGGTGTAGTGGTTAAGAGCGGTAGTCTCGTAATCTGGTGAACCGGGTTCGCGTCTCCGCTCCTCCACATGCAGCTGCTGGGTGACCTTGGGCTAGTCACACTTCCTTGAAGTCTCTCAGCCCTACTCACCTCACAGAGTGTTTGTTGTGGGGGAGGAAGGGAAAGGAGAATGTTAGCCGCTTTGAGACTCCTTCGGGTAGTGATAAAGTGGGATATCAAATCCAAACTCTTCTTCTTTTGTTTCACTTTTACTTAGTGTCAGATCACCCACATCTATAGAGGTAAACACCAGGTCCAAGGCATGTCCACAACTATGAGGTGGGCCAGACTTATTCAGGGACAGCCCCATGGAAGCCATGCTTTCCAAGAAGTCCCGAGCGGCCCCTGGTAAGGTCGTGCCGACATGGATGTTAAAATCCCCTAGGACAGGGGTTGGCAAGGTTTACCAGCCATGGGCCAGATCACTCCCACGGAGATTGTCTGTGGGCCGGACTGGCGCAGCGTGATGCCAGAAATCACGTCTGCGCATGTCCACGGCGCCGGAAATCGCTTCTGCGCATGCCCACATACCAAAAATGGCACCTGCGCAGAAGCGATTTTCGGTATCTGGACATGTTCAGATGCAATTTCTGGTATCTGTGCGTGCACAGACGTGATTTCCGGCACCGCTCGGCGAGTCCCTGCACCGCACTGGTTTAGCGCAGCACGAGGTGGACTCGCCAAGTGGGTGGCTCGGTTCAGGGGTGGCTCGTGGACTGGTAAAACAGTCTTCGTGGGCCGCATCCGGCCCATAGCCCACACGTTGCCGACCCCTGCCCTAGGACAACCAAACTAGGTATCTCCAGGAAAACATCTGCCACAACCTGAAGCAGCTCAGGCAGGGAATCCTTGGTGCAGTGGGGAGGTCGGTACACCAAAAGGAATCCTGTACTGCCCCTATTGCCCAGCTTCCAAAACATGCACTCAGAAAACTGGGTCTTCCCAATAGGACACCTGGTGCAAGCTAATGACTTCCTAAAAATCACTGCAACCCCCCCCCCCGCCCATATGACCAGGGTTGCTGTTAGAGAAACCTGGTAGACAAGCAGCAGCAAGAACAGGCCCATCTGCTTCATCCAACCAAGTCTCTGTTACACATGCCAGGTCAAGTCCCCCACCCACAATCAAGTTCTGGATAGCAGTGGTCTTATGAATAATAATAATAATAATAATTAATAATTTATTATTTATACCCCGCCCATCTGGCTGAGTTTCCCCAGCCACTCTGGGCGGCTCCCAATCAAGTGTTAAAAACAGTACAGCGTTAAATATTAAAAACTTCCCTGAACAGGGCTGCCTTCAGATGTCTTTTAAATCATCATCATCATCATCATTGACCTCGCATTGCACAGCAGCACCTTCAGGTCATGTGGGTCTCCCTTGTTGATTCCAGTATCCATCCAGTCAAGACCAGACCCGGAGGCAGGGATAGTCCTCAAACAACAACGAAACCTGCCTCCTCAGTAATGACATGGTCTGGTCTTAGCATAACACTTCGTCCTACCCATGATCACTGAGATTGGGTGTCCCAGTGCTACCCCCCCCCCCGGAACCTGCCCAAACAATCTGTTGGCTGGGGCCCGCTCCCAGGCAACAATTGACTCTACCTCTGGGGAAGTCATTTATTGAGGTTGGACGAGGGGGTCTCATCCCAGCCACCCCAGCTGCATCTTTGGTGGACATCAGAAGGGATTGTGGGGTGTAGGGCTGTACTATAAATTGATATATTGTCTGATACCAAATTTTAAATAAAATTGTGATGACTGTTTTTTTAAAAAAATGACCTTGCAATATATCACAAATCGTGTACGTGGTGTTCAAAAAGCACAATGTTGGAAGAACCGGGAAGCCAACATTTCCTCCTGTGTGTGCAGCCCTTGCTAACGCTGCCTCACTCAGCTCTTCTCTGCCAGCAGGCTGCTGCAAAATATTTGAGAATGGTTTGCTTTCCCCTGCTACCACAACAAGTAGCTACAACAGGCTGAGCAAAAAATTGCCCCTCTAAAATCACTGCCTCTTTGAGAACAGATTATCACTACAAGTAGAACAGGCTGCTGCAAAAATCACCTCACACTGCCTCATTGAGAAAGTGTTATCGATACAAATAGCTAAAAAAGGCTGAGCAAAAACCACTGTCTTTGAGAAACAGATCTTTCAGAAACCATTCCTACAGTCTCCCCTGCCTCCCCCCCTGTGTTAACCCTTTCCCTTCCAAATTACTTGCTTCTTTGTTCCAGTGATGAGCTTCTCTCTCTGTAGCACTACCCTTCCAAGGAACTTCTTTTATTGCTGCCTCTCTCCCTCTCCCTCTCTCTCTCAAGTTGCTTGCACTAAGCTGCCACAAGTGGGAGGGAACCCCCCCCCCGCAATTCTTGGCTTGCAAGTTGCTTCAGAATAAAGGGGGGATGACTGTGTTGTGTACACCTTTCTTTTGGGGCAGAAACAACGCACAGACTATATGGCTATGCCAGCAGTGGACAATGAAGAATGCTTTTTGATATGGTGGACATATGGAGGCATCCTTCCTGATGTTAAAGAAGCTTGCAAATAAGTTTTTGCCTATCCCAGGAACAAGTGTGCCATCTGAAACTGTGTTCAGCACTGCTGGCAATGTTCTTCAAAGACAAATGGCATCTCTATTGCCAGAGATTGGACTGTTTCTGTGATCCCTAAGGAAATGATCCTTTTTTAGACTATTAAAAAATATTTCATGATGAACACATGAGCAGAATTTGAGCTATGAGCAACAGAAGTAATTGAGATTATAATATTGTGGGGAGAGCTGAAAATAATGCGAATTCTGACACTCATGTTTCTGTTTCGTAGCTCAACATGGTGTTTTGGATTTTTCCATTAAACAAAGCTGAACTTGGCAATTGCTTTGGGCTATAAGAGATCTTAATACATGCCAGGCGACCCGCCCCCATGTGTATATATAAAACCAGTGCTTTTCCCCCTAGAAAAATAGGTGCCCGTACTCACCATGATGTTGTTACAGTAAGTGCCACACTTTTTTTTTTAAAAAAAAGAGGTGCCGGTACTGTGTACCCTTGAGTGCCCCCTGAAAAAAGCGCTGTATAAAACACTGATGTTTGTCTGTTTGGCTGGTGTAATGGTTCTAGGGGCTGCTCGTGCGTAAGCCGGTGCCAACACCTGGCTGGGTTGCCTGAGTGAACCTTTTCTGTCCGGACAGCCACTCACCCGTGGCTGTCTCAATCGCTGGCAGAATCCGTCAGTGGGTGTTTCTTAAACTTCTTCCAGCAAAGAAGCTCTTTGACGCCTAGTCTCCTCCTACTCTCTCTGCGCGAAAGCCTTCTGCGCAAGGAGGGCGTAGGCAGTGGAGGACCCCTACTCTCCCCGCTGGTCCCCGGCAAGGAGTCATGGGACCGCCTCGCCGCTTCCCCCATCTGCCCCCCTTCTCCACTGGTGCTACGCTGATTCTCTTCCCCAGAAGATGAGCTGCCTCTCCCCATCCTGGGACGCTCTCTGGAATCCCTCTGGATTTTGCTCTCTCCCTCCGGCACTGATGGCAGTTCCCTGACATCCACCTCCTCCTCAGGACCCCACCCCCTCCACCCCTGGCGCGATCTTCCGATACAACCTCCTCTCTCTCCTCGGTCGACGATGCGGGGAATCCCCTGAAGGAACTGTCATCATCTTCTGAGGATTCAAAACCAGCCTCCCATCCGCTCGGATCTCTTCCCGCTGGTTGAACCTCCCAGTCTGATCCTTCTCCCTCGGACACCTCCCCTCCCTCCTCTTCGGAGGCAGGAAAACCCACAAAGTCCCCTTCGTCATCTGTGGTTCCAAATTCTTCCTCCCAGAATCTGGCTAATGGTTTGGGCTTATCCGGGAACAAACCGTGGAATTCTTCCACCAGATACCCATCAGTGATTGATTCAGCAGGGACCCAAGTGTTTTCAGACCTAGGTTCCCCCTCCCAAGCTACCAAGTACTCTACCTGGCGACCTTGCCACCTTGAATCGAGTATTTCCGTGACTTCGTTACAGTGTTCCCTCTCCTCTACCCGCGGGTGGATGGTAACCCCTCCCTCCCATCCTGGGAATTCCCGCCCCTCCCTGTAAGGTGAAAGTAGGGACCTATGGAACACTGGATGTATCTTCATGCTGTCAGGCAACTTGAGTTTAAATGCCACTGGGTTAACCTGCTGTATTACCCCAAAAGGCCCCAGCCGCCTAGGCTGCAACTTCTTGCACCCTCCCTTTAGGGGCAACCCTTGGGATGACAACCACACCCAGTCTCCCACCCTTATGGCCTCCCCCTCCCGACGGTGCCTGTCCGCCTGCCTCTTGTAAACTTCCTTGGCCCCAAAGACTTCCGGAGGCGGCGCCATCGGCAACGGCGGATTCCCTCTAGTCTTGAGGGAGTAGCTCCGCGGAAATCGGGTCTTGCCGCTACGGCGAAGCAGGGACCCCTTCGAAAACCACAGGCGGGTGAAGCCTGTGACCGTGGGACTCGGCGGGCACCCTTAGCGCCCCCCAATCTGCGAGGGAACCCTGTAAAGAGTTCCGGAGCGAAACGGGGAGTCTGGCGCGGTGCTGAGAGTCAACTGCTTCTTCCGTGGAGTGAAGCCGCGCAGCTGTTGCCGGAGAGCGCTGACCTTTTTCCTGTGACAATTTGGCTAATAAACAACTACCCGTGAGTAGGTTAAGTTTGAAGATTGGGAAATTTAAGGGAAAAAGGACTAATTTGGCACTGAAGCGGGAAGGCGTAAACAGGAAGTCCGCCTTCCGTTTTCTGTAAATAGATCAAAGCGAAGACTGTCTAAGCTAAGACCCTGAAAATCATGTTGAAAAAGACTCAAATCTTAACATTAATTAAAAGAGAACTCCCTCCCTGAGGTGCAGGAGAGGGGAGGGAGAAGGGGAAGTATCTTTTGCCTGCAAAAAAAGAAGAGAGAAAGGGAACAAAGACCATCACTTAATGCCTGGGAACGGACTGTCAAGGGACAATGGAACTGCCGTATCGTGAATCGCGCAGTTAAAGGACAATACAACTTTTTGACAGCTAACTCTGTAAGAGAGATACTTTGATTCTGAAGGGTCTCTCTGGACCTGAAATTGTTGCTTTTCTTGGTTAAAGGGGGGATTTCTGAAAGTTGGAAAAGTTACTTTATTGTTACAAGTCTGGACTGCTACTGTGTCCCCCTAGAGGAACTTTGAAATTGCTACAATTGGCCAGGGAATTTTCCACTCCAAACTGGCCAAGGGGAATTTTCCACTACAAAACAAGTAACCGTGGTATTGACCTTGATCCTTAGATAAAGTGTTATGGCAGACTTGACTCAGGAAAAAACAACAAGATCGGGTAAAATTAGACTGCAGCAGCGTAGGCCGTCAGCATCCGGCCTCCCTGCCCCACCAGGGGAAGATCCAGCTCAGGTGGCGCCTAAAGGAATGGCATCTGAAGGGGGTTTAGCTTCAGCACTAGATAAATTTTTTGAATCTTTGGAAAAATTAAGCAAACAAGTTGCTGAAGCGACAACTAAAATTGATCAAAACACGTCAAGCATCAATAACTTGGGGCAGAAGGTGAACTCAAATACAGAATCAATAGAGAAACTGCTGCAGGAATCTACTTTGAACTGAAAAACAGCTGAAGAAGCCAAGGAAAAAGCATTGGCTGTAGAGGAAAAGATACCACCGATATGTAGGCAGCTTGAGGACCACAAGTCATTGCTGTCGATGATTGAATTAAAAGAAAAACAGATAAATCTAAGGATCAGGGCTGTACCTGAACTTGAGAAAGATAGTTTGATTGACTTTCTTACGCAGGAATTTGCAGACTTTTGGAACCTAGACTCAGACAAGTTAGATTTTAAGATAGTAAGTGCTTTTAGACTTGGAAGAGGGGGGAGAAAGAACAGGGTGAGAGACTGTTTGATTACCCTCCGTTCAAGAGAGGAGAGAGACAGAATATTAAGTCTGCACTTCCAGAAGACCTTGGAAATAAGTGAATCAAGAGTGGAGATATTTAAGGACATCCCTAAACATCTTTTGGATCTCAGGTCCAACTACGGAGATCTAGTGGCCCTGTTAAGAGGAAACAGAACCATTTTTAGGTGGGAATTCCCCCAAGGCCTATCTTTTACCTTTAAAGGGAAAAAGTTTAAAATAAGATCAGTGGAAGATAAAGAAAAATTTCTGAAAGAACACGGAGAAGACCTGCGAAAAGAAGCTGAAGAAGAGCTAAGAGCCTTAAAACCAGGAATACAAGACATAGTACCACTACCTGTGGGATTGGGCAAGTTAGAGAAGGTGATACCACCGACAGAACAAGAACAATTACTTGTCGCAGTTGGAGGAAAAGCAAAATAAACACATCATGTCCCTGCAACTATTAAGTTGGAATATTCATGGATTTAACTCCCCGGAGAAAAGGAAAAAAGTCTTTCATTTATTGAAAAAGGAACAATTGGACTTGATTTGCTTGCAGAAACACATGTGATAAGGCTTCATAGGAAAGTATTGATTAATAAAAGATTGGGTCAAGAGTTTATTTCATCGGACAAGGTTAAAAAGAGAGGAGTAGTAATTTACGCGAAAGAGAGCCTATCACCGAAATTTATTTTTAAAGATGACCAAGGAAGATATGTGGCATTTGAAATCCAAACACAAGGAGAAATTTTTTTGATAGTAGGAGTATATGCACCAAATGAGGGGAAATCTGAATTTTTTAAGAAGTTGCATGAGACATTGTTAGACTATATGGATTACAACATTATCATGATGGGAGATATGAATGGAGTGGTATCTACAAACATGGACAAGTCACAGAGACAGGTAGTTACTAAAGATGGCAGACTACCAAAAACCTTTTTTGAGATGACTGACAATATGGACTTGATTGACATTTGGAGAATAAAGAATCCCTTGGGCAGAGAGGGAACCTTCTTCTCTGAAGCCAAAATGACATAGAATCATAGAATCATGGGCAAGAATTGACCAAATTTGGATAACTAGAGGACTGGCACCTAAGACTCGAAAAGTGGAAATTTGCTCAGCCACAGGTACACTCCATCCTTCCTCCCCCCACCCTGGGAAGGCCCTGGGGGTGACACCCGTAATTGGCCATGAAAGGGCTCATTCCCGTGGACACGTGTTCAGCGTTATTGTACGCAAATTCAGCCAAAGCTAATTTCTCTACCCAATCGTTCTGTCTCTCGCTGACATAGAAGCGTAGGTACTGCTGGAGTATACCGTTCGCTCTTTCAGCTTGTCCGTTGGTTTCTGGGTGCCTCGCCGTCGAGAAGCTCACCTCGACCTGTAGCAAGCTCATGAGTCTCCGCCAGAACCGGGAAGTAAATTGTTTCCCACGATCCGAGATTACCCTCAATGGAGCCCCATGCAGTCTAAAAATGTGATCCACAAACAGCCTGGCTGTCTCCTCTGCCGTTGCTGCATGCGAGCAAGCTACGAAATGGCACATTTTAGTCAGTAGATCGACCACTACCATGACCGCTGTCTTTCCCCTTGACTTGGGCAGATCTGTCATAAAATCAATGGACACCACCTCCCAGGGCCTTTCCGGTGTAGGTAAGGGTTCCAGTAGCCCCGCGGGGGCAGCCCTTTCCCCCTTTGCCCTCTGGCATCAGTCGCACCCTCGTACATATTCTCCTACGTCTTCCCTCACCTTTGGCCACCAGAACTGCCTGGTGACAAGTAGCATGGTCTTGTGTGGTCCAAAGTGCCCAGCTGTTGGGTTGTCATGGAGTTGTCTAAGTACCTTCCCCCTCAAAGTCTCCCCTGGTACATACAGCACCCCCTTATAGTACAGTAGCCCTTCCTTTTCCTCAAACCCTCCATTGTCTTCCTTTCCATCCCTGAGTTCCCTGATTTTTGTCTGAGCAAACTCATCATCTCTGGTGAGCCCTGCCAGTTCTCGTTTCCCAACCAACGCTCGCCCACACACCCACCGGTCTTCGGGGAACACGTGCCTGGTCTCTGGTGGCCCCTCTCCTTCCATGTACTCCAGTTTCCGGGAGAGAGCACCTGCCCATACGTTTTCCTCTCCCGGCACGTATCGTATCTCGAAGAAAAACTTGGCGAACTCCTGGGACCATCTGATCTGTCTCTGGTTGAGCACTCGCGTGGTCCGCCAGTATTCCAAGTTCTTGTGGTCAGTTCGGACCTGGATCTTGTGCCGTGCCCCTATCAATAGATGTCTCCATTGCCGAAATGCCGCATAGATCGCAAGCAGTTCTCGGTCGTACACCGTGTAGTTTTGCTCCGACTTGCTCAGCTTCCTAGAGAAAAAGGCACACGGCCTCCAGTTCTGCTTGGCCCCGGGCTGCAAAAGTACCGCTCCAATCGCGCGGTCGGACGCGTCCGTCTCCAGTCTCATGGGCTTCTCTGGATCCACGTGCAGGAGCTCCTCTTCCGAGGCGAACGCCTTCTTCAGTTTTTCAAAGGATTGCTGCGCATCCTCTGTCCACGCGAACTTCTTCTTGCTACTAAGACAATCCGTTATGGGCGCTGTCAAGTGAGCGAAGTTCTTTATGAACTTCCTGTAGAAGTTGCTGAAGCCTAGGAACCTCTGCACATCCTTTCTGTTTTTGGGGGCTTTCCATTCCAGCACTGCCTTCACCTTGCCCGGATCCATAGCTAGTCCTTTGTCTGACAACCTGTACCCCAGGAACTCGACCTCCCTGGCGTGGAATTGGCATTTTTCCAGCTTGACCCACAACTGATGCTTCTTCAATCTCTGTAGCACCTCCCTGACGTCTCTGACGTGTTGCGTTTCATTGTACGAATAGATTAAGACGTCATCCAAAAAGGCTATGCAATTCTTGTACAGCAGGGGCCCCAACACATGGTGCATGAAAGCTTGAAAGCAGGCGGACCCCGATTGTAATCCAAATGGCATGACTAAGTACTCAAAAGCCCCCAGGGGAGTGAACATGGTCGTTTTCCATTCGTCCCCCTCCCTTATCCTAATCAGATTGTATGCTCCCCTGAGGTCCAGCTTGGTAAAAATCTTCCCCTGCCTCACACGTGTCAAAATATCGTCAATCCTGGGCATTGGGAAAGTCACTGGTTCTAACACCAGGTTTACGGCCCTATAATCCACAACTAATCTGGGCTGATTAGTCTCTTTTTTGTCCACAAAGAACACTGGACTGCCCCCACCGCCTTTGATTCCCTTATGAAACCTCTCTTCAGGTTCTTGTCAATAAACTGCCGCAACTCCTGCATCTCCTGGTCAGACATGGCATACAGCTTACCCACTGGTAACTGAGCCCCTGGAAGCAGGTTGATTTGGCAGTCAAATGGCCTGTGGGAGGGGGCAGTCTGTCTGCCTCCCTCTCGCTGAAGACCTCCTTCAAATCAGCATATTGTGGTGGCACCTCCCTTTTTTGCTCCAGGGCCACCCCAGCCACCCTGGCCACAGTCATTCTTGGTTCCTTCCCTCCCAGACAGTGTTCTAAGCAGTAAGCTGACCCAAAGGTGAGCGACCGCTGATGCCATGACACCACTGGGTCATGTATTGCCAGCCAGCTCATTCCCAGTATTATTGGGGGTCCTGCCAGCATGGCCACGTGAAAGGCAATGGTTTCCGTGTGCCTGGAGACACTCATTTGGATTGGCGGTGTCTGGTGTGTGACTTCCCCTCCCAGGAGTTCCCTGCCATCGATGGTGGTCACCTGCAAGGGAAAATCTAGTGGCAACAGGTGGAGCTGGTGCTCCAGAGCGAAGTCTCTGCTGAAGAAATTACACGAGCTGCCAGAATCTAGCAGCCCCTCCACTTTGACAGGGTGCCCATTTGGGAGTTCTAGCACCACCTCTATGGCTATAGCTGCCTTGGGAGGGTCAGGCTGGGGCACTTCTATTGGTTGCTGGCCTGGCTGCTGCCCCTGCTGGTTGGCAGCCAGGCTTTGTCGTTTCCCTTCCTCTCCCTTCTCGTTGTGGCCTGCAGCCCCTATCATGCCTTGCCAGGCTTTTCGTTGAGGGCAGACCTTTGCAAAATGTCCCGGTCGCTAACAGAGGAAGCACTTCTTGGTAGTTTTCCACTCCTTCCCCTCCCTTTTCCGCCTTCCCCAGCGTTTGAAACTTCGCGCGCTCCATCAATTTCCATCAGCTCCGCCGCCTGGGAAGGCTCCCTTGGCATCTCCGGAATGTGGTTGCCATGGAAACGTTCCGCCCTTATCTCCCGCTTCTCCTGAGCCCGCGCTTCCTGGCGTACACCGATCGCAAGCACAGTCTTTGTGAGTTCATCCATCGACCACGGGCGGGGCGCTCGGGACAACTCGTCTTTCACTTCGGGGTCCAAACCCGCTTCAAACAACATTTGTACTGGTTCAGAGTCCAGATCCCACCCGAGCTTGTGGACTAACATCGCAAAACACGACCAGTAGTTTCTGACGGACAGGCTCCCCTGCTTGCACCCCATCAGCTCCCTCTGTGTCACGCTTTGCTCCACCTCGCTGGAGAACATCGCGTCCATTGCCTGGTAGAATTTCTTAAGATCTTTCAATGCATCATTCTGTGTCGCATTAGGGGCCTGATCTATTCGCGCGCCCCATCCTGCAGATGTCCAACAATGTAAGCCACCCTCTCCCCGTCATCCGCAAAGTCATTTTTCTGCAATTCCAAAGCGTATTGAATTTCCGTTCAGAAGGCATTGTAGTCTTGGGGCTTTCCACCAAACTTGTGTACCAGCCCAGGGACCTTCCTCCCTATTGGGGTGGCTCTGACCTGTGCATCCTGAGCCCGTCTCTCCTCCAGCCGCGCAGACAGGGTAGCGACATGCGCCTCCAGGTCTCAGTTCCTCTCGACCAGACCTCACACCATGGCTTCTTGCTCTGTCTCTCCGGCCGGCCCTGTTTGGCTCATCGTGCTGCCTCTCCGGGGCTGCGCACAAGCAACGTCAGGGACTGACGGATTGCTGTAATGGTTCTAGGGGTTGCTCGTGCGTAAGCCGGTGCCAACACCTGGCTGGGTTGTCTGAGTGAACCTTTTCTGTCCAGACAGCCACTCACCCGTGGCTGTCTCAATCGCTGGCAGAATCCGTCAGTGGGTGTTTCTTAAACTTCTTCCAGCAAAGAAGCTCTTTGACGCCTAGTCTCCTCCTACTCTCTCTGCGCGACAGCCTTCTGCGCAAGGAGGGTGTAGGCAGCGGAGGACCCCTACTCTCCCCGCTGGTCCCCGGCAAGGAGTCATGGGACCGCCTCGCCGCTTCCCCCATCTGCCCCCCTTCTCCACTGGTGCTACGCTGATTCTCTTCCCCAGAAGATGGGCTGCCTCTCCCCATCCCGGGACGCTCTCTGGAATCCCTCTGGATTTTGCTGTCTCCCTCCGGCACTGATGGCAGTTCCCTGACAGCTGGTAAAATAGATAGCCAATGTACAGGATTACAGTTTATCTTACTGTATATTGTACCCAATATAGGGCTTGTTCCACAATCTAGCATTGTCTGTTTAAAGTCAAGTAAAAGCATAAAACTATTAAACATTTCTAAGCTTGCCAAAATTTCTTCTGCAATGAAGAGTAAAACTATTTGCCTTGAAGTTTCTAGACAGAACCGTGCATTAGTAAGTTGACCTGGAGAGAATACTTCTTTCTTTGCAGCATTGTGTCATGATTTGCATCAAAATTCAATGGAAATTCTTTGGATATGTTGACTTCACTTATGTCAGTAATTTGAAAATAATAATGAAGTCTATGCATTATGCTTTTTCTTCTAGGCTGGTGGATGACAGATGCGTGGTTCAACCAGAGGCAGGTGATCTTTGCAATCCTCCTAAGAAATTCAGAGGTACGAAATTGAGAGTTAATTTTAGAAGTAGAAATACAGTGGATCCTCTTCTTGCCTAAGTTGATACATATATTATATATTTTGAAGTTAGATCCTGGGTTTTGTCATATTCTATGCACTTGTGAGTTTCACAGACTCAGTTACAGTATTTTTCGCTCTATAAGACGCACTTTCCCCCCTTCAAAAATTAAGGGGGAATGTGTGTGTGTCTTATGGAGTGAATGCAGGCTCCTTGGCTTCAGCGATAGCAACACGAAGCCTCCGAAGCGCAGAGGGAGCGCTCCTGCTGCGCTCTGGAGGCTTCGCGTTGCTTTCGCTGAAGCCGCCTAAAGCCTGAAGCCTCCAGAGCACAGCGGGAACTCCTGCTGCACTCTGGAGGCTTTAGGTGGCTATCTTCGGAGCGCAGCAGGAGTTCCCACTGTGCTCCGAAGGCTTCGGGAATAGCTGCCTGAAGCCTCCAGAGCGCAGCGGGAACTCAAATGTGGTGGTGCAGCAGCAGCAGCAGGGAAGTAAAGAGTTAAGTGGCATATCAGACTGATATGTTGATAGATGCCACAGGAGCTAGGTGACTCAGGAGATTTCTGCAGTGTGTACCAGTACTGCACTTGTGCTTTGAAAAATTGTATTATAACAAATACACAACAAGCTTAAAGCACACAGTGTGGGTAAACTTACAGGCTACAGTTCCTCTAGAAAACCACAGGTTCAAAGACATGTGTGATAGGTCGTGACTAGATGTTAAGGTGGTGGGCTTGTGTATTAGATGTACTGAACAGTTATAAAACCAGAGGTTTTTAAAAGAGGAGCAGGTGGAAGCAGGATGCTGAATGTTACCCTTTCCGCAGCTACTTTACTCCTGGCTGGCAGATCAGGTGGAAGCCCATTTGGACGAGACATAGCAGGGAATGGGCTGATTCAGTGTCAAAATTATCAGATGGGAGGAGGATTCAGCAGCTTCTCTGTCCTTCATCCTGGCTCCTGTGCAGGTTGAGTTTCATTTCAAGATGCGCCGTCAAGCCTACTAATAACCAAAGCCTATGGGAAGATCATACTTATGGCTCCAAGATGGATGCTGAGCTGCAAAGCCGACAAGAGCCTAAGAGGTGCCTTATACTGAGTCAGACCACGGGTGCATTTAGTTTTATATTGTCTACACTGATTAGCATGGTTTCAGGCAGGAGACGCTCTCTATCCTACTTGGAGATGCTTTTTAACCTGGGACCTTCTGCCTGCACTGCCACTGAGCTGCAGCCTGTTCCATAAAGCCGAGAGCAGATAATGGGAATTGTCTGAGCAGCTTCCATCAAAATATTAAAAATACAATAAAACACCAGACATTAAAAACTTCCCTAAACAGGGCCTCCTTCAGATGTGTTCCGATAGTCAGATAGTTGTTCATTTCATTGACATCTGATGGGAGGGCGTTCCACAGGGCAGACGCCACTACCGAGAAGGCCCTCTGCCTGGTTCCCTGTAACCTCACTTCTCGCAGCGAGGGAACTGCCAGAAGGCCCTCGGCGCTGGACTTCAGTGTCCGGGTAGAACGATGGGGGTGGAGATGCTCCTTCAGGTATACTGGGCTGAGGCCATTTAGGGCTTTAAAGGTCAGCACCAACACTTTGAATTGTGCTCAGAAACGTATTGGGAGCCAATGTAGGTCTTTCAAGACTGATGTTATGTGGTCTTGGTGGCCACTCCCAGTTACCAGTCTAGCTGCCGCATTCTGGATTAGTTGCAGTTTCCGGGTCACCTTCCAAGGTAGCCCCACGTAGAGTGCATTGCAGTAGTCTAAGCGGGAGACAGTCTGCAGGCAGGTAGGGTCTCATCCTGCATACCAGATGGAGCTGGTAGACAGCTGCCCTGGACACAGAATTTACCTGCGCCTCCATGGACAGCTGTGAGTCCAAAATGACTCCCAGGCTGTGCACCTTCCCTGTTGTTTCATGCATGCTGCCCTTTTGTTTCTAAGATGGGCACTGACGCTCATGTTTCTGTTTTGTAGCTCAACATGGTGTTTTTGATTTTTCCATTAAACAAAGCTGAACTTGTCAATTGCTTTTGGCTACAGGAGAACTTAATACATGCCAAATTCCAAATCACCTGCCTCAGATTAACCCCTTGATGTCGCTGAATTGTTTGCCAAGGCACAGGGAAGTTGTGAGGAAATGTGTTCCTTTTGCTTTTGTGTTTATTTTCCTAGAGTGAAAAACTCCTTATCCAAAGTTCTGTCTCAAAGTTCTGTTTTCCATTAAAACTAACTCTAACCCTCACCTTAGAAATTGACATTGGAGTCACTTGCGGGTGTTGGCAAGAGGGTGTGGCATGGTGAGGGAAATGCCCTTATGTATGTTTGACTGTGGCTCACGGAGCCTCAAATGTGCATTTCCTTTATCCCTACCCCACTGTGGTCCTGATGGTGTTAAGTCAGGCACAGGGAATCTCAGGGTGGAGGGTGGGGGGATGCAGTCATTTGGGTCTCTCTGTGTCAGGAGCCGGAGACAGAAGCAGGCCAGCAATAAAACACCCACTGTCAAATAAGTTAGCTCTTTATTCAAAGTCACCCAAACAGTGCAGGCCTAGTTATCACAGCAACTCTTCCCAGTAGGTCTTGCTTCAATGAGGCAGTTGCAAAGACTGAAGATCCACACCTTCTCTCCACTCTCCAAGACCTCCTCCTTTGGGTCCTTCCCCAGCAACCAGATACTCCTTTGTTGTCTCTTTTTGCTATTCCCTCTTCATTTCACTTTGTGGTCTCGGAGACCAGAGGGGAGCTGAGCTGAAAGGAAGGGGAGAACCCCAGGCTTCTTTAGCAGCCTGTCTCATATTTGCCTCCTGGCCCCCCTCATCTCCAGCCTCTGATTCTGAACTGCTCTCTGCCACAGCTTCTTCCTGCTCACTAAACCCTGTTGCCTCTTTGGCTTCCAACAATTCCTCCTCCCAGTCTGATCCCTCTTTGCCCTCTGACCACTTATTGTCGTCCCACCACTAATGCCCAGGCTCTGAGCTTCCTTTCCAGACCACTTCTTTGCATTCAGCCAGTCCATTACACTCTGTCTGAGGCCTCAAAACTGTCCTCTGCTTTATGTCCTTTTCTGGTGCTTTTGCATGGCTGGAATTTGTCCTTGAACTGCAATAATGCCTCTTGCTTGCCTGGATGGAGAAATCTCTGGGATGCAGCTCGTCAGGCCTTGGAGATTTGAATTCATTTACTACCTCTTTCCTAAATTGGGCTGCAGCTCCCTCCTTACATCATTTACTCTGTTATCACCAGGTTGGGCCTTGTTTTCCTTTTGGGTGAAGATAGAGGCAAAGTAGGTGTTGAGTAGTTCTGCCTTTTCTCTGTTACTCAATAACATTTCTCCAACTTCTTCACACAGAGGACCCTACCACTTGCTTGTTCTTCCTCTTACTTGGGACATAGCTGAATAGACCTTTTAAAATTAATTTTAACCTCTCTTGCAAGCCTGACCTCATTCTGAGCTTTAGCTAGCCTGACTTTCCCCTTGCAACTGCTGGCTACTCATGTATGCTCCTCCTTTGTGATTTCCCCTTTCTTCCATTTCGTATACATGCCCTTCTTAACTCTCAGCTCATCTGTAAGCTCATAGCAGCCACACTGGTTTCCTTAGATGCCTCTCACTTTTCTTTCTTGTTGGTATTGTCTGTATTTGGGCCTTCAATATTTCTCCTTTAAGAAACTCCAATCCTCTTCTCTTTGAGTATTTCTGACCACCGGATCACACCCAGTAGCTCCTTAGGCTTTTTGAAATTTATCTTCTTATAGTCCAGAGTGCGTTTCCGACTATGCTCAGTTTTCCCTTGCCTCTATGCAGTCATACCTCAGATTACGAACGCTGCAGGTTTTGAACGTGCCTCCTGCACGGATCACGTTCATAACCCGAGGTCCAGAGTGCGTTTCCGACTATGCTCAGTTTTCCCTTGCCTCTGTATTGTGAAACCCAGGAGAACGTGATCACTTCCTCCCAAGTTTCCGAGTGCTGTCACTTCATTGGTCAGTTCCTCCCTATTGGTGAGGATCAGGTCCAAGACAGATGATCCCCTGGTTGTTTACTCCACCCTCTGGGAAACAAAATTGTCAATGAGGCAATGGAGGAATTTATCAGACCTTCTATTCTTGGCAGAGTTTCAGTCCCTACTGATATCGGGGAAGTTGAAGTCCCCAGTGACTACTATAGCTCTTCTTTTTGAATGTTTGGTAATCTGGGGATGGGGGCACTAGGCACAAAGCCCTCCTGTGGGATTTCGGCGCTCCTGGACGCCGTCTCTGATTCACGCCACTAGCTGCAAGAACTTCAAAAGAAACAATTTGGATGAAGGAATGCACATATTTCGAGGAAGGAGGGGGAGCAAAGACTGCTAACAGAAGAGATCTCTGATAAATCAAGACGAGTCGGAGGAACAAGCATAGATTATGAGAAGATACGCCAAGACTCGGTATGGCAAAGGGGCTGATGGGGGAGGGGGAAAAAAACTTTCCTTTCTTTCTTTTATGTGATTAAACAAGAATTTCCCCCCCCCCACAAGTCAGGAATGTCGCTTTAAGGACTTAAGCTGTGGATTTAAGGCTGTGTGGAGATAAACTTTCGAACCAAAGCATGTTTTAAGAAGAGCGTGGAATGTATAAGGGCTTTGGAATGACACAGTTAAAAATGCCGTCGCCATATTAGGAAGTTCTGTCGGAGGACTTAAGTCTGAGAGGAGAAATAGAGAAATAGAGCTGTTTTTATATTGTGGATGAAACTCCTCAGAGGGACTTAAGATCGACAGTTCTGTAATTAATGATGGAAAGAGCGATGTTATCTATGAAGGCGATGTTATATGGAAACCATCTCGATTTGAGGATTGGAAGAACGGAAAATTCACACAGGATTATTATTGGTGTTTATCAGCTTAAGGAGACTATCAGAAGAGATCATAAAGAAAAAAGAGAAAATATATGAACAAGATGTGATGTGGAAACAGCAAGATAAGACTGGATAGAATTATGAACTCTGTTTGGACTGATTTGGACTGATTTGGACATTAACGCAAGAATATGATCAGAATCCCCCTTCGGATCTTGAAATATGGGTCCCCTCAACAAAATTTAAAATTCGGCTTTGTAATTCGGAATTTATGTGATGTGATTTAATTTGATTTGATTGGCCGGTTAATAAATTTTTTTTTTTTAAAAAAAGAATGTTTGGTAATCTGCTCTAGTGAGGCACCATCCAAGTCTTCAGTTTGGCTTGGCGGTCTATAGCAGACACCCACAGTAAGGTCCCTGTTGTTTCTCTCTCTTACAAGTTTTACCCATATACTCTCAATCTGCTTTCCATGCTCCAGGTCATGGATTTCTTCACAAGTGTACACATTATTTACATATAATGCTACTCCACCTCCCTTCCTGTTTGGTCTATTTCTTTTAAACAGGTTATACCCCTCAATTCCTACATTCCAGTCATGAATCTCATCCCACCAGGCTTCAGTAATGCCTACCAGGCCGTATTTGCAATCCTGTACTAAAAGCTCCAATTCGTCTTGCTTGTTTCCCACACTCTGTGTATTTGTGTAGAGACAACTGAAACCATGAGTCGTTCCCTCCAGCTGCTTCCTTCCTGTAGTTTCTTGCCCTTTAGCAGGTTTCTGGAGCACTGCCTCAGTTTCCTGTGCATCAATTAAGCTATTATCCCCAGTGCCAGGTGCTATTCTGTTGTTTGTAATGTTGTCTCCCTCCTCAAGATCTAGTTTAAAGCTCTCCTGATCTTGAGACTTTTAGCAAAGCCATTCTTGCCAACCACTGTGAGGTGCAGCCCATCTTTCACCAGAAGTCCTTCCTCAAGGAAGCAGAGACCATGATCCAAGAAGCCAAATCCTTCCTGACGACACCACCTGCACAGCCATAGTATTTTCTTCTCTCTTTCTTGGCCACAACCTTCAACAGGAAGGAGTGATGCCCAGTGTCTCATAGTCCCTGCCCAGTGTCTCATAGTCCCTTGCTATGTGTTGCAGGCTGTGTGTGGCAGTATGTGTGGCTGTGTGTGGCAGTATTATTTGCACCCACATGAATCAGAAGGAGGGGGAAGTGGTCAGTAGGCTTTATAAGACTTGCCAATTTCTACGTCACATTGTGCTGTGCTTTCCAAAGCCTGTTTGGAGTTTTCTAATGTCTGCACCTGCTGTTCGTGAGTCTTCTCCACTTGTCTATTGGAGCTTTTTTTTATAGTGCTGGGATAAGTTACAAAGGCAGGAACCTTATGGTTTGAATTACACCACACATTTCCTTGCATTTTGCTGGTTCATCACTTCTGCAGAAAATCTAGGACTGACTAGATGAAAAAGCACTAAATTTATTGAGCTGTTAGCTCTTCTTGCTCTTGAGTGGCCCAAGAGCAGAGATCTGTGAAAATTAGCTTTTATTGTTTACTATTTTTCACACCCGGTGAATATGAGACCAAAACAAAAAAGGGATAGTAGTGAATTATTTATTATTTATTTATTTAATTTCTATACCACCCTATACCCGAAGGTCTTAGGGCAGTTCACATAAAATATCAAATACATAAAACAAAAACAAAAACAAAATCAACAACCCAATAGCCCCCCAAGAGCCAGCATTTTTAAAAAGGGTGTAAGATGTAGATCAAGTCAAGACCTGGCTGAAAAGGAACATTTTTGCCTGGCGCCTAAAGGTGTATAGTGAAGGCACCAGGCGAACTTCCCAGGGGAGCATTCCACAGACAGGAAGCCACTGCAGAGGAGGCCCCGGTCTCATTTTGCCACCCCCTGAACCTCTCAAGGAGGAGGCACACGAAGGAGGGCCTCAGAAGGTGATCTCAAGGTCCAGGTAGATTCATATGGAAACAGGTGGTCCTTGAGGTATTGTGGTCTTGAGCCGAATTCAGAAGCCTTATTATTAAAGTCTACTGCACAACCTGAGGCCTGGCTGTGTTAATCAATACTGAAGGCATTCTGTATGCAAACACACCAAAGGCACATCTAGCACAACTTTCTGTTCTCACAGCAGCCATGCAGAATGCTGGTTTGAAACCCACAGGCAGGACATGAGCGCAACAGCACTCTCCTGCTTGTGATTCCCCACAACTGGAATTTGGAAGAATTTTTCTAATCAAAAACATATGCAGAATCTCGTAGCTGACTGCTGCAAGGAAATAAGAAACAAACGTGATTTTGTTTTCTTGTCTTCAGACTGCCTTTTTAAGGTATGTCCTATGAACCGATACTCTGCACAGAAACAATACTGGAAAGCCAAGCAAGCAAAACAAGGGAACCACACGGAAGCTGCATTGCTGAAGAAGCTGCAAGTAAGTGGCACTTGAGCTCCCAGTCTTTGTTGCCTTTTTATGCAGCTGTTTGTTAGTGCCATGATGCACAGCTGTTAGTTCTTCAGCAGCTAAGCCCAAATTACTTTCTCCCAGCTGGTAATTCCACTGAGCTGAGAAACAGCAAATTTAGATGACTCAAAACTGCCCTGTTTTGTTTCATCTAAGGACTATTCTGTCTCCCTTCTTAATCCCAGAGGTGGCTCACTGGGTGTGCCAGAGTCCCTGCTAGTTCCTGACAGGTGGATTGCTGTTGCATACTGGGAGGGAGATGGGTGAGGTGGCTGGGAGGTTGGTCTGGTGCAAGTAGAATCATAGAATCGTAGAATCATAGAATCATTTATCACCCCTGTTATACAAAAATCTCCAAATGAGTCTGAACTTCATAGAATCATAGAGTTGGAAGAGACCACAAGGGCCATCGAGTCCAACCCCCTGCCAAGCAGGAAACACCATCAGAGCACTCCTGACATATGGTTGTCAAGCCTCTGCTTAAAGACCTCCAAAGAAGGAGACCACCACACTCCTTGGCAGCAAATTCCACTGTCGAACAGCTCTTACTGTCAGGAAGTTCTTCCTAATGTTTAGGTACATATGTACTTAAGTACATAAGTAGGAGTGTGGGATTGTCTCTGCCAATGTGTTTGCCCCATCCCAGCTCCCCCCACCCACTGCCTTGCCTTTCATCATCTCCCAGAGCTACAATTACCAGAGTGGTTCAACAATTGATCTCTCTTTCCAGGTAACTCTGAGAAGTGTAGCTCTGTGAGGAAAATAAGTATCTCTCAGCCCCTTATAAACTGCAGTTCCCAATATGCTTTAGGGGAATCCATGATGGTTTAAAGTAGTATCACAGTCCTTTAAATGGATAGTGCAGATGGGGCCAAAAGTAAGAGTTCTATCTGTTGTTCTCCCTACCTTTGGATCTGGCCCTACCAGTCTTCTGCCTTTCACTCCACACACCTTTAGCATGTGCCCCCCAGAAGGGTTGCCCCTAATAATAATTATAATTATAATTATACTTTTATTATTTATACCCCACCCATCTGGTGCTCCGTCTGAAAAAAATCCCCACACACTCCAGTGCTAAAGCTTGAGAGGTTGAGTTCATGTAACAGTTTGTGACTTAAACTACAAAAACAAAACAAAAACTCCAAGAAACTGTGACTATTTTGCAGCATGCTGCAGAACTGGAACAAAAGCAGAATGAATGTGAGAACAGGAAACTGCTGGGTGAAATTGTGAAGTACAGCAACGTCATACAGGTGAGCCTTTGAAAACTAGACTGTCAGTTTCTCAAAACCTCAAGGTGAGCAGAAGTTTAAATATATCAGAAATGGCATGGAGTGTGAAAAGATTACATACCTCCATGCCATACCAATCAGCCCTGCAGTGGGAGTTCCCCACAGCGGATTTTTTGATGTGTGAAATCAGTAAGCATTGCCTAGAGCAGGCTTCCTCAACCTCAGCCCTCCAGATGTTTTTGGCTACAACTCCCATGATCCCAACATCTGGAGGGCTGAGGTTGAGGAAGCCTGGCCTAGAGGCAGAGAAGAAAGGGCAGGGCTCCTTTGCCTTTAACGACAGTGCAGGGGAGACTGTTTCAGGAAGCACTGTTTTCCTCACCGCAGCATGACAAGTTGCACCACCCCAGTGTCATCTCCTGCTCCTCTGTACCCCACCTTCCCTTATCTCTCTTTATCTTGTGTAGAAATGTAAACTGTAAGCACCTGGGCTTACAGGGGACATTTCTCTTTGTTATATCACTTAGTATACTTAGACTACAATTCCCATCATCCTTGACCGCTGGTCCTGCTAGCTAGGGATAATGGGAGTTGTAGGCCAAAAACATCTGGAGGGCCAAGTTTGAGGAAGCCTGACTTAGTAGAACAACATTTATGGCATTATATAAATAATACACATGATTAGTGGCAAAGGAGGCTCATATTCCTTTGCACTTGGTCACCATAAGAAACAAATGAAAAAAGGAAGATATGGTGGAAATTGGGCATGTCAAAACTGAAAATCAGAAGAGTCATAAATTATGGTCTTTAGGCAGTAGATAGAGTGGTACGGGGTAGCCAACATGGTGCCCTGCAGATGTTGTGGGACTCCCGTCAGTCTCAGCCAATGATCAGGGTGCTGAACTTCTTCATCAACACAGAGTGTGCACAGCGAATGGATCGTAGAAATAAAAAGCTGTCCACAGTATCTTTCCTTAGTTTTATTTTCAAAAACATAATAGCCAAACGCTGCAAGCCATCACTCCTCCTCACCAGCAGCTTACAAGACATTTGATCAAATTAAATACAGTTTAAATTAACCAATTATCCTATCACATCCCCTTCTGCACCTGGTGCATTAAGTGCCGTATTTTTCGCACCATAGGACGCACCGGACAATAGGACGCACCTTGTTTTAGAGGGGGGAGAGCAAGAAAAAAAAAATCTCCCCCTCTCTGCCCAGCGTCCCTTCAGCGAAGCAGCAGGAGGCGCTGCGCAGAGAGGGGGAGAATTTCCCCCCTCTTGTTTTCCCCCTCTAAAACAAGGTGCCGTTTAAGGTGCGTTCAGGCGGCTACCTTGGAAGCCTGGAGAGCGAGAGGGGTTGGTGTGCACCGACCCCTCTCGCTCTCCAGGCTTCAGGTTCCTTTCAACCTGCTCTTTGGGGCTGGCGGGGGGAAGCCCACCACCAGCCCCAAAGAGCAGGTCGGGGAGCAGCGGAAAGGCGCGCAGCGGAGAGGCTGCTGCCATAGTCGCGCGTCACCTCTCCAGCCGGGAGAGGTTCACGGGCTTCTTTAGCACCGTGCACGCTCTCCCGGCTGGAGAGGTGGCGCGCGGCTAAAGAGGCTCCTGCCATAGCCGTGTGTCACCTCTCCAGCTGGGAGAGGGTAAGCGGGGTTTCTTTAGCCCCGCGTGCACTCTCCTGGCTGGAGAGGTGGCGAGCGGCTAAAGAGGCTCCTGGCATAGCCACGCGTCACCTCTCCAGCCGGGAGAGGGTCGCGGGGCTATGGCGTCTTCGCTCCATAGGATGCACACACATTTCCCCTTCATTTTTGAAGGGGAAAAAGTGCATCCTATAGAACGAAAAATACGGTAACTCCCCTTTTAATTAGGCAAAAAGTCGAGAGACCACATGTGTGCAGCCAAGTAGGTCAACCTGCAAACATACACCTCTGAAACCAACCTGGTTCCTGAGTAGCATAATAATAATAATAATAATAATTTATTATTTATACCCCGCCCATCTGGCTGAGTTTCCCCAGCCACTCTGGGCGGCTCCCAATCAAGTGTTAAAAACAATACAGCATTAAATATTAAAAACTTCCCTAAACAGGGCTGCCTTCAGATGTCTTTTAAAAATAGGATAGCTGCTTATTTCCTTGACATCTGATGGGAGGGGGTTCCACAGGGCGGGTGCCACTACCGAGAAGGCCCTCTGTCTGGTTCCCCGTAACCTCACTTCTTGCAATGAGGGAAAAGCCAGAAGGCCCTTGTTGCTGGATCTCAGTGTCTGGGCTGAATGATGGAGGTGGAGACGCTCCTTCAGGTATACAGGACTGAGGCAGTTTAGGGCTTTAAAGATCAGCACCAACACTTTGAATTCTGCTCGGAAACGTACTGGGAGCCAATGTAGGTCTTTCAAGACCCGTGTTATATGGTCTTTCTTGGTGGCCACTCCCAGTCACCAGTCTAGCTGCCATATTGGATTAATTGCAGTTTCTGGGTCACCTTCAAAGGTAGCCCCACGTAGAGCGCATTGCAGTAGTTCAAGCGGGAGATAACTAGAGCATGCACCACTTTAAGATAAAGAAAAACCAACACAGGGATGGTGGGAGTTTGCTCCCAACAATGTCTGCAGGGTGTCATGTTGGCTACCCCGGGAGATGGTTAACCAGACAAAAAAAAGTCAGGTGGGTATTCAGTCGTACACTTAACCACCTAACTAACATCTTGTTTTATGATTGCTGAATAACATGTCGCCTTCAGCCATGCAAACTCCCATGTTGGATTGTTTTGAGCTGATGTTTTGATAATTGAAATTATTCCCAGTTACAATGATTTGCCAATGAGCAGGTTGTTAAACCCACTTGAAATATGTTAAAACATTGTGTTTTTTCAGACTGTCAGAAGTAATTTCATGTGTAAGTTTAATTTCTCTCAAAAAATGTTTGCCCTACTAACTGTGATATCACAGCTATAAATCTGGCCTACATATCTTCTGACCTCCTGAGCTGAATGCTTACACTGTTGCCAGCCAGGTGTTTGACAATCCTTCTGTGTGTTTCTTGGCTGGCTACAACAAGCATTAATCCTTTGGTGTAAGGGAGGCCTCATTGTGGGTTGAGTTGTGGCCAAAGTCTTCATCCAGAACACATGTATACATTCATTTGTTTTATTATTATTTACAGCTACTTCACATAAAAAGCAACAAATACCTTACAGTGAATAAGAGATTGCCAGCCCTATTGGAGAAGAATGCTATGCGGGTCTCTCTGGATGCTGCTGGGAATGAGGGGTCCTGGTTTTACATCCAGCCCTTTTGGAAACTGAGGAGTGAAGGTGACAATGTAAGTGAATGAAATATGTTTCTGGGAATTGCTGGAATAGGCACTGTTACCACCTCCCCATCTTTCTAGGACTAGATGTCTTTGTATGACCCTTGTTGTGCAGCGCTTGTTGCTCTGCTCCATAATGCAATGTGCTTAAATCCTGATGCAGTGCATCTTGGGATATTATTCTAAAAGGTGGTTTGGGACAGAAATCATATTCAAGGGAACTGAGCAAGTAAGAAGGGGAGACCTAATGGGCTATTAACACCTGAAGAGCTCTGCAGCATCAGACCACAGGCCTATCTCATGCAGCTTTTTGTTCTCTCAAAGCCCATCCAGATGCCTTTGAGAAGTTGCAAGGAAGTCATGAGTGCAACAGTACTTCCCTTGCTTGTGATTCCCAGCAACTGGTATATGAAGGCATGCTGCCTCTGAAAGTTGAGGGAGAGCACAGCCATTGTTTCATTTGCTAGGTAACCAGCCCTCTTGCCATCTATAGTTCCCCTTTAACTTGCCCTAAGTGTATTTATTTACCGTATTTTGCGCCCCATAGGACGCACTGGCCCATAAAGCGCACCTAGTTTTTTTGGGGGGAAAATAAAGAAAAAAAATATTATTCCCCCCCCAGGCGCGGGGCTGGGTCGGGGGAAGCCCGAGCTTCCCCCGACCCCAGCCCCCAGAACAGGCTGCTCTGCGCAAGCTGTGGGAGCCCTCCCGTGGCTTGCGCAGAGCTACCCGAGGCCCCACACGACTGCAGAGCGCACCGGGGCTTCGGGATAAGAGGCAGCTCTGCGCAAGCCGGGGGAGGGCTCCCACGGCTTGCGTGGAGCTACCCAAAGCCACGGCGTGACTGCTGAGCGCGCCGGGGCTTCGGGATAAGAGGCAGCTCTGTGCAAGCCGGGACAGCCCTCCCGCGGCTTGCGCGGAGCTACCCGAAGCCACGGCGCGACTGCCCAGCGCGCTGGGGCTTCGGGATAAGAGGCAGCTCTGCGCAAGCTGGGGCAGCCCTCTGCCGGCTTGTGCAGAGCTACCCGAAGCCACAGTGCGACTGCTGAGCGCGCCAGGGCTTCGGGATAAGAGGCAGCTCTGTGCAAGCCGGGGGAGGGCTCCCGTGGCTTGCGCAGAGTTTCCTGAAGCCTGGAGAGCGAGAGGGGTCGGTGCTCACCAACCCCTCTCGCTCTCCAGGCTTCAGCGAAAGCCTGCATTCGCCCCATAGGACACACACACATTTCCCCTTCATTTTTGGAGGGGGAAAAGTGTGTTCTATAGGGCGAAAAATACGGTACTTGCTAGGTTCTGTACTGCCCAATGGCCATAGAGCTCTGGGTGGCTTACAGTAATGGTTGAAATCATAAAATCGAACAATGCACCAGATCTACAGCAAAATAAAACGGCACAATATAAAACTAGTGATGGTTAGCAGCAGTGAAAAGATCTAAGAAGCACTAAAATGTTGCTAAAACACCTGAGAGAATAAAGACCTCATCACCTGCTGTGGATAAAACCACAGAGTAGGCACTAGGCAGACCTTTCTGGGAAGCCATTCTGTGGCTGTGGTGTCACCCCTGAAAATACTGTCTTTAGGCAGCAGCAGTGGTAATGGGTGAGGAAAGGAAAAGCCCTTTGTGGCCAGATAGCAGCCACCCCTGGCTAGATTCAGTCACAGGGTTAGTAGTTACTGACTTCAGACATGGAACCAATTATTTCACTAACATGGAAGTGGGTTTTTTTTTAATAAAAAAATATTATTATGCTTGATTTCTACTTTCAGTGAATTTTAAATTATTGATTCAATTCTGCAGGTTTGTTTTCTCTGACCTTACATGGCTGTAAGTAATGTTTTTCTGCAGCATGGCATGCAAGGACACTTTACATTAAGTAAAAAAGGGCATCACATTCTTATTGGAGACGTTCTGGCTTTAAAAAATATATAACAAATAATATGTGTTTATTTCTATCCTTGTTAAAAAAAATGCCAGGAAAAAATAGTGACTCCAAACCAGTATTTCTGACTTTACTTAGGGTTGGCAATTAACTGGTCAAATATTGTTAGACAATAGTCTTTCAAATGTTAATAAAATTATGCTAATTAAAAAACCCAACTACTTGCTTCTAGAAAAGACAACAAGATGCCATCCCTCCTTGAGGCTTTATAGAGCTTTGCAGGTATGGTGAGGACTTCTGACCTTGCCATAATGATTATTGCCTTCCTATGTTTGCTTGGTGCCTTCTCCTAAACCCTTTCCTTATCCTGCTTGGTGATGTCTTTGTAATCTCTCACTCCGTAGGTCCTAAGGGGTTTAGGTGGAATAAAACTTGCAAACAGTTAAGGGAACTTGTGTCATTCTAACTAAAGAAAAATTGTTCACAGTAATTGCCCGCAAAGAGCTCAATAAATAATTTGTCTAATAAATGAACAGTGCGGCATTCTCCTTTGAGTGCAAGAGAAAATTAGAAATTTCCTGCTTACAAACCTTGTTGCCAGCCTGTTCAAACTTTTTTTTAATCCACAAAGGTGCTTCAGAGTTGTTTCTTTTCAAATTGCATTAGTACCAAAGTGGCGGACAACCACAGCAAATGGCTTATTTGTAATGCAGCTTGAATGACATAACCCTTATCCAAGGTGATTAATTAGCTGCCCATTGGAATAAGCTTCCATTTGCGTCCATTGAGCTCTGCACTGAATGATTCTACCCTAATGAGTGTTCCATCTCCAATTACTGGCACTCATGCTGTATGGCTTAACTAGGAGGAGAAAGAGCAGAAACTCTCCAGAGAGAGATTAAAGTTGCAGGACAATGTGAGTGTCAAAGTACTAGGAAGCAAGGAGCCTTCAATATTGTTTGTTGAGTGACCCCATGATTTAATAAAAGCTAATGTGTCACTCATCTACATAAGTATTCTTGAAAATATTTGACCGTCCTCAAGCTGTAACCAACCAGTTGCCAGAATTTAGTCAGCTGATCTGCATTTTTACGCCAGTTCTACTGGAGCTACATAAATTATGAATTTTGCTTTCTGTCAAAATGTTGGCAAATGGGTTAAGGAGCAAAGATATTTGTGCATGTGTTGCAAAGAAAGCATGGATCGTGTTCACCATTCATATCAGTCACTTTGTGGTTCTAGCTTGTGTGTATAATTGTTCTGTATGATGGAATGTACACTGAATTGTTGTGGACTTTGCCATCACCTGTAATTAGATCAGATCTTGTAATTAGATCAGATCTTGTAATATCTTACTCCACTGCATCTTAAGATATTTCTCGTCTTCCCGCATAGAAATTCATACAATGCAAATGATCTCTTTGTTTTTAGGTGGGAGGCAGTTTGAGAGGCCAAGTATCCAAGAACCAATTGTATATAATACCATACCAGCAAATGGATATAGCTAGGAATGTCTTTAAGCAGAGGCTTGACAACCATATGTCAGGAGTGCTCTGATGGTGTTTCCTGCTTGGCAGGGGGTTGGACTCGATGGCCCTTGTGGTCTCTTCCAGCTCTATGATTCTATGATTCTATGAATGGAACTATCAATCTGTTTACCTTATTTTGGACATTCATTTTTCTGTTTTTCAGCTGACAATGTCTTACATCAGTCAATAAAGGTTTAAAAGCAATGAAACAATATAATCAAAACAAATAGAGCAGATGAGTGCCAGACTAGATTTAACACATTTTTAGAGTGTAATTATTAAAATGTACAGAATTCACTGTAGCGTATGTTGTGAGCACCTTGGGAGTGTTAGTCCTGAAAGGCAGCACATGTCTGCTGAAAGCAAAGCAACAGTCTAAAAATGTGAAGAATGAGAAAAACCTGGGCAAATGAGATTGGTTAGGAAATCACAGAAATCTGTGGTAAAAGAGGCAGTCCAGATCACTAGAAATCAACAGAATTTTGCCACTGATTTTAATGTGATTGTATTTCTGTAGTGCTCCCCCCCCCACAAAAATGACTTAAGAATCTGGGGGTAGCTGTCATAATGTGGAATGTTCTGGATCACACTAGTAAAAAGTTGCCTTTGCAGGAACCCCCACTCCGCTTAGAAGTTTGTCTGTGTGTTTTTAATCCTTATATGATTTTAATATATGGCCATTTTTCACAGTAACAGATTGTCATTTATTTATAAACTTTTAAAATATATTAGCTATTTTAATTTCCAGAGATAATATATTCTCCCAAATTAATTCTATATATGCTTCTCCAGGAGTAAGTCCTGTTGAACTCAGTGGGCCTTACTTCTGTGTAGGCACATATTAGATTGTACTGTTAACTTTTTGTTCAGTTTGTTCAGATGTATTACGTAATCTTGGATGTGAAATTGTTTTTATACATACATTTATTTATTCTTTTTTAAAAAATGAGATTGTTTTAGATATGTTTTTATTGTTGTTTTTAGATGTTTCATAGGAGGTGACTCATAAATTAAAGGAAATAAATAAATAATGAAAGGGCCAACCACTCAATTTGCAACGCTCATTCCAGAAAAAACAAATTAATAACCTTTCCAACATGATGACCTTCATGTTCCACAGCTTGCTCACTCTTTCTTAAAATTCCCAGGACATTTATTTATTTGGAAAACTGAAACCTGAGATTTCATAGTTTATCTAAGGGCTGCCAGAGGCAAAGGAGGACTGGGCTCCTGTACCTTTAACAGGGAATTTCAGCCAAGTTGAGCTTTTGTAGAAAGATACAGGAACCTTTTGATAAAGGTACAGGAAGTCTGCACTCTTTTGCATCTGGCCACCCTGCAGTTAGCTATTATACCAAGCCTATGAATGGGGTCTCACTTTAAATAGGAGGAAAAGGAGAAGGAACTAAACTAATCATCCGTGTGAAAGGAAATTGAATTACGATATATAACTCCTTTTACAACTTCTGTCCTCCAGATTGTTGTAGGGGACAAAGTTGTACTGATGCCAGTCAATGCAGGGCAGCCTCTTCATGCCAGCAACATAGAACTTCTGGATAACCCTGGGTGCAAAGAGGTGAGTTTGACAGAGGCCTGTGGTTCTGGTATGTAGAGTTAGAGTGTGGGATCAGTAGCAGACTGAGAGGAAACTACAACTTGGTGGCAACTATAGGCAGAATTAAGAGACTGACGTAGAGTCGCTCCATGCAAAAGAAGTTAGAGATTCTGCACCTTTAATAGTTGTACAGAAGAGGAAATTTTAGGAGGCCATGGTAACTACACCTCTCACATGCCATTGCTGCTTCCTGCCACTCAACAACACTGTGCTGTTTTTATTTACTAATTCTGTTAGGAGGTGAATGTTTTCTTCTTTTTAACATGCACCAGAGCACTGGCATTCTAAAAATCAGATGAAAGTGTATGACTTACTAGGTAATAGAGATAGTGGCTGCATTCCCCCCCCCCCAGTGTGCATTCTGTCCCAGGAGTGTCTAGGTGGCCGCCGTCTCCTATTGTTTGTTCTCAACAATTGGTATTCAAAGGTAAACTGCCTTTACATGTTGAGACTTTGGTTAGCTATCTGATACTTACCTATTTATTTGCATATTGTGTTTTGCACCCCAACCTTTCATCCTGGAACTCAGGGAAGTGTACATGGAGTTCCCCAGTTATCTCTCATCTAGATACTGATCACATGCAAACCTCCTTAGCTTCAACCAGGTTCCTGAATATGTGCCTCCAGACCATGTTCTCTTATCCTCTGTGAGCTTGACTATTACTTTTTCCTTTTCCTTTTTAACAGCAACCTAGACAAGTGGTCATGCCAACAAAGTTTCATGTATTTACAGATAATTGTTTAATTCCAGATTTTTTGGGGGCGGTGGGGTGTCAGTGGCATATTATAATTTAAATTGTCTTGAAAACAATAGCTATCATAGTAGACGTTGGCAAGCATGAGCCTTGTCAGATTGTAATGCTCCAGAAGCATTAGTGTCTGGGCCTTCTGCAACATAACCTATAGTTGTTATCTGTGCATTTGACTACAGGTAAATGCGGTCAACTGCAATACTAGCTGGAAGATAACCTTATTCATGAAATACAGTTGCTACAGAGAAGATGTACTCAAAGGTGTAAGTATGAATGAGAAAAATATTGATATTTTTGAAATGGTAATACTGGGTTTGTTTGTTTGTTTGTTTGCTTGCTTGCTTTTTGTACATGAGCAAGAGACCACAAATCATGTAGTTTGAAATTGGTTTTAAATAGAATAAAAATGCACCTGTTCCATATTATCCATTGTTTTCTTTTGTTCATTAGCCATGAAGAGTGATGATTTTGTTGCATGAGCAGCTAACCTGCTGGTACAGAGCTGCAACAATAGCCTTCCACTAGAAAGGGAGGGAGAAGGTGGTAATGAAGTTGGGGCTATGTGGGCACACGACCATAAGAACAGGATTTGGCTCCGCCAGTGCATCGGCACAACCCCAAATTCTCAACTACCTCACACCTCTCTTTCCTGGTACACAGCAGCAGCACTGCTTCACCAGGCAAGCTGCTTGTGTTTCATTGCAAAGTATGCGAGCAAACTGCATCCATCTCCTCTTCCCCCTTTAATGAATTGTTATTATTTCTAAACTGCCCTTCATCCCAGAATCACAGGGCAGTTTCAACGTAAAAAGACAAAAATATACAACATAGTAACAAACAAAAGCAATTCCACCCCACCAGTTTAAAATGGCATATATTGTTTAAATTAAATTAAATTAAATTAAATTAAATTAAATTGCCAAAGGCCTGGTAGAAGAATATTTTTGCCTGGTGTCGAAAGATATGTAATGAAGGCACCAGGTGAGCCTTTGTGGGGAGAGCATTCCACAAGTGGAGGAGCCACCGCAGTAAAGGCCTGTTCTTGTGTTGCTGCCCTCCAACTATAATGTTTGACTATAATAAAGGGAAGACCTTGGTTTCAAACACATCATGGACACCTTAATCATTATATAAATTGTATAGACACTTGAATCTAACAGAGAAGTATTCTTGCTACGATAACTTTGGCAAAGCTTCACTTTTGTGTTTGTGTTTCTTCAGGGAGATGTTGTCAGATTGTTCCACGCAGAACAGGAGAAGTTTCTGACCTGTGATGAGTATCAGAAGAAGCAACATATCTTCCTTCGCACAACACTGCGTCAGTCAGCCACTTCTGCAACTAGTTCTAAAGCTCTGTGGGAAATAGAGGTACTGTGTGATGCTTCTGATGTTTTCCCTAGCTTGGATTCAGAGAGTTCATAATATTTACCTCCTAAAGGGTAGTGTCCAAGCATTCTCTTTATGTGATAGATCTCATGCACTACTTCTGCAGGTGGTGCATCATGATCCATGCCGTGGAGGAGCAGGGCAATGGAACAGCCTATTCAGATTTAAACATCTAGCGACTGGAAACTACTTGGCTGCAGAGGTAAGAGTCACAGACAGTTGAATGTGGTAGAGGATGAATAACTGGGGCTGACTAAACAGGGCAGAGCCTTTGCTCTTTTGCAATTGTCACTGGGCCAGGTTGTATGTTGTTCTGAGAGCATGGATCCTGCTGGAAAGCCAGACTGCACAGGCACACCTGTGTAATGGGCTGTCTGCCTGATTTAGACTGGAAATAACCATGTTGTTGTTGGGAAGTTTCTTCATGGTTACTGCCACCCTTACTGGTTGCTGCCATCCAGGGAGCCCCTCTTCTAAGCAACCCATTGAGTGACTGAGGCAGCCATGCAGCTTGGTTTCTGAAGGGCAGCTATGCCACCTGGGTGCAACTCTGTGAAGAGAGTGAGACTATCCTGCTTCTTCAGCTGCAAACGTCTAATCTTGAAAGTGCCTCAGGAGGACATGGTGGCTCTTCTCCCCACTTCTTATGTGGAGGGGGAACTATGGAGAAATGCTAGCTATACAAACATCAACTCCATTGTCATGGTGCATTTCATGAGTTATCAAAGGATGATTTGAGGATCAGATAGGAGAAAGTGACAGAATGGATAGCTCAGTTGGTTAGAGTGTGGTGCTGATAACACCAAGATTGCAGGTTTCATCCCTGTATGCGACAGCTGCAGATTCCTGGATTGCAGGGGGTGGACATCAGGGTTCTTTCCACTTCTACAATTCTATGAGATTGCTTCTGTGAGATTGCTTGCTGCTTTCCCTTCAGTATGATGGTTTAGTTTTAGGCTCAATGTGCCCTGAGAACCCCTAAACCCTCATATTCACGGGGTGTGTGTGTGTGTGTGTGTGTGTGTGTGTGGCTTCTGGTAATTCCTTGATTCCTCCAGGAAAAAGTCCAGAACTCTCATCACTTACCAAGTATTATGTTTGTTCGGCCTTTTAGTTACAGAGCCCCTTACAGTTCTGTCTCTCTCTTCAGGGAGTTCACTTGGCTTATCAATTACTCGCCTTGCAGTCATGTCCTTCTTCAGTGTTGCTTCTAGTATGCTACAGTGTCCTACAGTCTTTAACCTTTGAGGCCTTACTCTGCATCCCCCAACTGCACCTTCTCCCTGTATGCACTGGTGGAGGAAGAGGAGTGCGGGGGGAGCGTACCGCCCCCGGCAGTGCGATCCCGGTAGGGTGCCTGCTCTCTGCCCCCCCCCCCCCCGGTTCCGGAGGGTGAAGCTCCACCACTGCCTGTATGCTCTACTGAGCATTGTACATCCTTACAGTGCTGCAGAATTAAAATGTCCCTCACTTTCAGGTAGGACTATTGTGGGCACATATATTCTGTAGTGAAAATGTTGCTTTTTGATGAATCCCAAGTAGGTGTGCTTAGTAGTCCCCCCCCCCACCTGTTCTTCCCTTACGTCTAAACCTTTTGTTAGATTGATCTCTTTCACTTTTGTGTCTTGCGCCCAACTCTTAACCTGGAAGCCCAGAAAAATGTGCCAAGATAAGACATCTATTTGTCTTATCAAATCATTTGGGGACTGCGGATATCTAGAAAAACTGCAATATAAATAAGTCAGGCAAGTCTCAGTGTAGTGGAAAGCCTTTTATGTTTGGCTTAAGGTTAGATTGTAAATTATCTTTCTTCTTCTTTGGCGATCATTCATAACTGAGTAAGATTGTCTTCCATGAACACAGTCTTAACAGTGAGTCCGTAAGTGACTGTGGAGGCCAATTCTGCATCCACACGTCCTTCCATAGTGGGGACAAAACCAGACCAGACCAGGAACAAAACAAAACCAGACCAGACCAGGAAAGAACAGGAAAGAACAAATGTTACAGAAAAACTTGTGCATGAGGCCAAACTAGAAAGTTACACTAATCCCTTTTTGGAAAGAATGACTTACTAAAGTTTGGGATTCGGCTATAATGGAGAAAGTAACATCTTATCTAAGAGCGAGAATTGCAAGTGAATACAGAAATAAATTCTCGGAAAACTTGTTGCCTCTTATATAATTACTTCCCATGAAAGCAAATGCAAGTACAGTGGTACCTCAGGTTACAGACGCTTCAGGTTACAGATACTTCAGGTTACAGACTCTGCTAACCCAGAAATATTACCTCGGGTTAAGAACTTTGCTTCAGGATGAGAACAGAAATCGTGCAGTGGCGACGCAGCAGGAGCAGGAGGCCCCATTAGCTAAAGTGGTGCTTCAGGTTAAGAACAGTTTCAGGTTAAGAATGGACCTCCAGAACGAATTAAGTTCTTAACCCAAGGTACCACTGTATGTTTTGAGGGTTTTTTATAGGATAAATATTGTAATTTTATGTTAAGTCATATTTTCTTTCAGAACATTATGACCTGAAGTAATTTTTTCTGGAGCAGTTCTGCTTATTATTGTTAATATTTGTCAGATGTTTAAAAGAATTATTTAAAAAAGGGAAGTAATAAGTGGTAGATGAAATAATAGGGGAAATGTATAAACTGAACTGAGGACAGTTTTATATTGTGGATTTGACACATTTGTATTACACATTATATGAATCTGCTCATTCTAACCCCCGGTCCATTCAGACCCATATGGTCTACATACAGTACATGGCAGCCACGGTCATCTTAGGCAGGGGTTTTCCCTCTCACCTGGAGATCCTATTAACTGGAACTGCCAGGAATTTAACTTGGGACCTTCAAATAACAACTAGATAATAACTGAATAAAAGGTATGGATGAGTCTAAAGATATTTGAAAGAAAGTCTAAATATTATATGAGCTTAATTGGTTGTTGACTTAATAAATTAATGAATTTATTATTACGGTCACAGACCAGTTCCGGCTCACTTACAATATCAGAAAAATCATAAAACATGATAGGGATACATTGAATTGCAATTGGGTATAACAGGGACGATACAGATACAGCAGCAGTTAAAAATATAGAAGTTAAAGCTTAATCACTAAAATATAACATAAAATTGTCATTTGAAACCTTAATAATTTTGGTAGTACAGCTTGTTCCCTAAGTTTTATGGCAGTCACACAGAATTTGGCCACCCTTATTTTTTATTTTTTTAAAAAAGATTTTTATTGATACAACAAGAAAAAAGGAAAAAAAAAAAACCAAATTACACACAACACCATAGACACATAATTTAAACTACTATATTTATTTTTCAGATATTCTTTGAAAACCTCCCATTTTGAAACAAATTCCTGTTTTGATTTATTCTTTATTTTTTCTGATAGACCATCTAATTCGGCATATTCTGTCAGCTTTTGGATCCAATCTTGTACAGAGGGAATTGAATTTGGCCACCCTTAGCGTGATCTCTGGATCCTTGTCCTCTATCAGGAGTTTTAGACATTGCCAAGGAGTGTGGTGGAGTCTCCTTCTTTGGAGGTCTTTAAGCAGCGGCTTGACAACCATATGTCAGGAGTGCTCTGATGGTGTTTCCTGCTTGGCAGGGGGTTGGACTCGATGGCCCTTGTGGTCTCTTCCAACTCTATGATTCTATGATTCTATGAAGTTCAGACTCATTTGGAGATTTTTGTATAACAGGGGTGATAAATGCCGAGCGTATATCCCTGTAGAAACGGCAGCGTAACAAGACATGAGAAACAGTTTCTACCTCCATCAAGCCGCAGGGGCAGACTTGTCCCACGTATGGTTAACCCTCTAATCTGCCCTGCAATAAGGCAGATGGCAGCATGTTGAACCTGGCAAGGGTAAACGACCGTCTGTATTTGGGTATTTGTAATCTGGACAGATATTGCTGAGGTAAACCCTCTCCCATTGTCTTTTATCGCTGGGTGTTTATTCATCTCACTCAAATGACATTGCAGTTCCACATCCCAGATTTGTTGGTGGATTATTGCTCTCGCTTTCTCATAACCTACAGCAAGCAGGGCCTGTGGGGAAAACCCCAAGCCTCTTAGTTTTTTGTGCAGTGTAGCTTTCCATTTGGATTGGTAGGAATCCAATAGGGTTACAAGTGCCATCCCGACAGGGAAAAAAATAAGTTCTATCTATCTGCTGCCGCTTTGCCGGTGAGTCTTGGGGAGGACTGCTCCCCCTGCAAGCCCATTCTCCACCTTGGGCCTGGGGGTGGGCCCCATACGCCACCTCAGCATATTAGGCTCCAAGGAGGCCTCGGGACATTGCTGCCGCTGCTTCGCCGTGAGTTTGTGGGGAGGGCTCTTCCTCCTGCAAGCCCACTCCACCAGGCCAGGGGGCGGGGCCCACACTCACCACCACCACAACTTTCAGGACACTGGTGCTGCTGCAGCAAATGTTTAAAATGTTTTTATATATTTTAAAGTGTTTTAAAGGTGTTTTTACTTTTTACTCTGTTGTACCACCATAAATGGTGGTTTTTATACATGTATTTTTGTTTTGTTTTGTTTTATTTTGGGTTGGGGTGGGATGGTTGTTGAGTGGGGTGGGGATTGGTTTTGTTTTGGTGTAACTGTTTTTTGTTTGTTTGTTTGTTTGTTTGCTTTTATATTTTGTAAATGGAGGCGAGTATGAGGCTTGGGATTCCTACTGTGGAGGGGCGAGGGAGGTATGGCGGTGAGGGCAGATGTCATAGGCGAAGGGGATCGAGATACGGATATGCTCGTACCCCTTCCAATCTGCGCCCCATCCCGAGAGACGAGGGTAGGGTGAGCAAGGATTACTCACCTCCGTCACTGGTGTTGTGCAATGCCAGGTCTATAGGCAACAAAACCGCCACCCTGCGAGATTTCTTCACCTCGCAGGGGGTCGACCTGGCTTGTGTGACGGAGACCTGGGTGCGCGAAGGGGAAACTGTTACCTTACGAGAGATGGTGCCCCCTGGTTTCTCCGTCCTCCACCAGTCGCGGACTGTGGGCCGGGGGGAGGGGTGGCATTATTAATCCGGGAAGATTGTTCTTTCAGGGCTCTACCATCGTCATCGATCCCCGGCATTGAATGTGTTGGCCTAGTGTGGGGCTCCGAGGTGAGCTTGGCTGTCTGGCTGGTGTACCGGCCATCTAGCGCACCAGCAGCCACCCTGTCAGGCCTGCTGGAGGCGGTGGCCGGCTGGGCCTTGGAGTTCCCTAACCTATTGGTATTGGGGGACTTCAACATCCATGCTGATGCCACGCCCTCCTCACAGGCTCTGGACCTGGTGTCTTCCATGGCGACACTAGGGCTCTCCCAGTTTGTTTCGGGCCCCACACATCAAGCAGGCCACACGCTGGATTTGATCTTTGGTGTCGGTATAGATGTGATCATGTTTCCTTCGATGAAGGTGCCATGGTCTGATCACTGCGCTCTGAAAGCCAGGATTGACGTTCCACCCCCACCCTGCTTAGGTGGCGAGCCGATTTGGGCTCGCCCGCAGAGGCTGATGGACCCTGATAGATTCCGTCAAGCCTTGCGGGACCTTTCTCCCCCGGCGACTCATTGACTGAGCTTGTTGAGGGCTGGAATACCCAGCTCCTGGCAGCCATCGATGAGATCGCACCTAAGCGCCCTCTGCGACCCCGCAGAAACCGGGCTCCCTGGTTTACCGAGGAGCTCCGGAAAATGAAGCGGGACCTCAGACGGCTAGAGCGAGTATGGCGGGGTGCCCGTGATGGAGCTTCAAGAACACCTTATAGGGTTTTTATGAAAACCTACGAGATGGCAGTGAAGGCCGCTAAGAAGTCCTGCTTCTCGGCCTCCATTGCATCCGCTAGCTCTCGCCCGGCGCAATTATTTAGTATAATTCGGTCTTTAACATCCCTCGAAGGACAGCCAAAGTTAAATAACAATTTGACACACAGCTGTGAGGCATTTGCGAGCTTTTTTGCATAGAAGGTCCTGTTGCTCCGCCATGACCTCCCTGCCAATTTGGATACAATAAAGGAACTGGACTGTCCTCGACTGTCCTTGGGTCCAGTATTGGACCACTTTGACCGGATATCCCCAGCCGATGTGGACAGACTCCTCCGAGCTGGAAAGCCCACCACTTGTCCTCTCGACCCGTGCCCGTCTTGGCTGATTAGAGCGTGTCCAGACGAGGTGCGGGCCCCCCTGGGGGATATCATCAATTTGTCCTTTGGCACCGGGACATTCCCAGGGGAACTGAAGGAGGCAGTGGTGCGCCCGCTCTTAAAGAAAACATCATTAGATGCCTTAGATCTATCCAATTACCGCCCGGTTTCAAATCTTCCATTCCTGGGTAAGGTGATTGAGAGAGCGGTTGCTGAGCAGCTTGGTAGGTTTCTGGATGAAACATCGGCTCTGGATCCATTCCAGTCCGGCTTCCTCGCTGGTCATGGGACCGAGACGGCTCTGGTCGCCCTAACAGATGATCTCCGCAGGCAGCTGGATCGAGGCGGGTCGGTGCTGCTGATTCTTCTAGACCTGTCAGCAGGCTTCGACATGGTTGATCACGAACTCCTGGACCACCGCCTTGCCGACGTGGGGATCCAGGGCACAGTCCTTCAATGGCTGCGCTCGTTTCTCTCTGGTCGGGGACAGAGGGTGGCGCTTGGGGGGGAATTGTCATCGCGCCACTCCTTGGTGTGTGGAGTGCCTCAGGGTGCGATTCTCTCCCCGATGCTTTTAACATCTTTATGCGCCCTCGCCCAGCTTGTCCGGAGTTTTGGGCTGGGTTGCCATCAGTATGCCGATGACACCCAACTCTATCTGTTGATGGATGGCCATCCTGACTCGGCCCCAGACACACTGACCAGATGTCTGGAAGCTGTGGCTGGATGGTTACGTGGGAGCCGGTTGAAGTTAAATCCTTTGAAGACAGAGGTCCTCTGGCTGGGACGGGACGATATGGGATTGAGGGGGCAACTCCCATCTCTTGCGGGGGTGCAATTAGTGCCAGCACCGTCCGCTAAGAGTTTGGGTGTAATCTTCGATACCTCCCTCTCCATGGAGGCGCAGATTGCAGCTATAACAAAGGCGGCATTTTTTCATCTCCGCCAAGCTAAGCAGTTGGCTCCTTACCTCTCTCGCCCTGACCTAGCCACTGTGATCCACGCGACGGTCACCTCCAGACTGGATTATTGTAACTCGCTCTACGTGGGGCTGCCCTTGAGACTGACCCAGAAACTCCAGCGGGTGCAGAATGCTGCAGCGAGACTCCTTACGGGGTCTTCGCTGCGAGATCACATTCACCCGGTGCTATACCAGCTGCACTGGCTCCCGGTGGAGTACAGGATCAGGTTTAAGGTGCTGGTTTTAACCTTCAAAGCCCTATACGGCCTAGGACCCTCGTACCTACGGGACTGCCTCTCCTGGTATGCCCAACAGAGGAATTTACGGTCTTCAAATAAAAACATCTTGAAGGTCCCAGGCCTAACAGAGAAGTTAGGCTGGCCTCAACTAGAGCCAAGGCTTTTTCGGCCGTGGCTCCGATCTGGTGGAACACTCTGTCACAAGAGACCAGGGCCCTGCGGGACTTGACATCTTTCCGCAGGGCCT